GAGGGGATTGATATTAACGTTACATTATTACCGTACTTTCCGGCGTATAAGACAACCCCCGACTTTTACAGTTAAAATATAGAGTTTGGGATATACTCGCCACATACGACGACACCCGACGTATAAGACGACCCCTGACCTTCGAGAAGATTTTCCCGGGTTAAAAAGTCATCTCATACGCCAAAAAATACGGTAATACAGTCGACCCCCGTATAAGATCATTGATTATTCCGTTTTATATGAATTCCATGTTGTACGAGTCACTTAGATTTTACAAATATGTGTACCGGGCTGTGAACGGCTCACGTATTTGTAAAATTTAAGTGACTCGTACAACATGGAATTCATATAAAACGGAAAAATCAACAGTGTTATACGGGGGTCGACTGTATTCACTTAAACATGCAAATTCACTAGTTTTTGCATTAAGATTTACATTTCCAGTACAATCAACCTCTTAAGAAGCTTGGCAATTATTCAAATACCAACATTTCAACTTAGGGCTGATTCATATCTGATTCAATATCATTGCCACAGTACACTCATTAAAAACTTATACTCTCATCCTCATTAATTAAAAAAACAATCCAATACAAAAAAAACATGCCTCGTAAATGATAAGATTATATATACTTTATCACCATATTATAAGTTAAAATCCTAACAAAAATTAAATGTAGTCGTAATCCGTATCGAATTTTTATATTATTTTTAGCATTTTGTAATGTTGTAAATGGAAATTGTACAAACAAATGCGCCATATGTTAAATATAAAGAACGCATTTAACATTTATTTAAAGTTTATCCTCCATTTATACGTCTCGTAGATAAAAATTTACCGCGAAACCTCGACATTCCGTTCGCACGTCCACGTGTTCGTGTAAAAATTTAATCAATTTCGCTTATAAATCGGTAAAAATAAAAGACGATCGTAAATTACTTTACATTCGCTACACTAATCCTTATAAATGAAGGCTTTACGGATCGTTAATTTGTCATCCGAACAGGCGATTATGTAGTTTAAAAAGTACACTTACCAGACATTAAACTATTCGGTAATTCCGCCATATTTAAAAGAGATAATCGAGTAGCGATGACGTTTCATTCGATTTTTGCTATTGTAACTATTATATCGTTAAATCGACAAGCGATTAACTTTTTAATAATTTTTTATATTATTTACCTATTTATATAATATTTTTATAACTAAAAAGTGATAAAAACATTTAATAGAAGAGTTTTAACGCCAATAACAATAACGTATTGTCCCGTTTTACTTGTTTGGTACACGTGGTTAAAAATATAATCGATTGTTCTTGTGTCTTATGACTTGTAAAGCAGAGATATTCCTTTCGGGCCAAAGTATTTTGGGGCTGTCCGTAAATTACGTATTGCAGATGTGGGGTGGGTGCGTATGTTCCATCGTTACCATGCGTCACGAAGGGGTGGGGTGTTTACAAAAACGCTACGTAACGTTAGGGGAATAGAACGATTTATCCTTATTCCTGAAGTGTTGCGTAACGAACCGTACTGTTTACGTCACCGGTTTTGTATACACGTAATTAATAAAGTAATGTAACGTTAAGTACCCCGTGCTGCGTATTATTCCTTTAATGGGGTTGATACGCGTTACGTAATTTTGGAAGCGTGTGCAACGCGTGGCGAAACGTTACAGGGAGTGGAATGGTAGTTTTAAAGTATAAAAATAGTGTTACGATCCCTTTTTAAACCTTTTCAATACAAAAATGTTACTAACAATCGGTTGAGTATTATAAATGTAAACCTTAAGTGGCCAGCAAGAATTATTGACCATTACGAATGGGCCTGACCCATAACAGGTTTGGTTTATTTGGTTATGGTGGGCGATCTACCGAGGGGATGCCTCCGGGAAACTGGCCCCTGGGTGTTTTTTTAAACTCTTTCCGCCCTGTGGGCACTAAGAGGGCCTCTTTTAGCAAGCCCATTATGAGATAGGAAGGTCCAAAAAAGAATCAGCCACTGGAGAAGTCACTGGGAATGGCAAGTTATGAAGTAAATTCGATGCATTTTAAACCGAATAACCGCTTATAATAATTATACCAATCTGCCAAAAATAATCTCGTGGTCTGGAGCAAGGTCCTAGAATATAAGGTTACTTCGTACAAGCCGGTTTAGCCACTTCCTGCCAGATTCTGGATATACGTCATCCGTAGTCGAGACGGCTTCACAACAATTAGGGAGGGAAAAAATTTTGGAATTTCACTGTTTTTGTTACTTTGTTGAGAGTTTTTAGACTCTAAATCTTCGAAGGTAAATATATCTATCGTTATTACTATTATTAAATATAATTATGTCGATAATTATATGGATAAAAATTGTACGGAAGTAACAAAAGTGTTCCTAGAACCGTTTGATATTCTGTTGTAGTCTCTACACTTGGTTGTGTAGAAATTACAGAATATGATTACGGATAAAATATATTAAAATACTAAGTATCTGCACGATGAAATGACGACTACAAATAATAGAGAGGTTACGGGCGAAGTTTTCGTGTCTAAAACGTAAACGTCGAGCGCCGCTCGACGTTCACGTTTTAGACACGAAAACTTCGGCCGCAACCTCGCTAATAATAAGAAAATGGATTCATAATTGTAAAAGACAAATTCAATCCTGATTCTTGTCATGTTCGCTCTGATCATGTCACAGAAAATGATTTTGAGAGAAATTTAAAAGCCGAGTTATATTAGCGAGGTTGCGGCCGAAGTTTTCAACGCGGAAACGTGAACGTCGGACGTTCGGTTCCGCTTTCCTGTAAGCCTAGAAGTTTGACAATGGCGTTTGGAACGTCGAGAATGATTCCACTGACGTTCCAAACGCCATTGTCAAACTTCTAGGTTTGACAATGGCGTTTGGATCATTTTTTTTTTATTCTGATGAAACCGTGTTGTAGTTTGCTTTATACAGAAAAGTGACTTTTTGAAAAAAGTCACTTTATTGTGTCTGTATAAAGCAAAATACTAGATAATGTTAAAAAACCTACCTGTAACGACACCCTGTTTTAACGTCATATATGAAGCACTCCCAAATTTACAAAATTAGATTACAAATTTTATTTATTTAACAAAGAAAATACTATGTGTTCAGTCCTAGGGTCAGAATCCACTTCGTAGAACGATTGTGGGGGGGGGGGTACTTTCACCAGCTGACTTCTGTTTGATTATTTGTAGAGAGAGTCGCCATTTTGTATTTTATTTTGACTCTGTTCCCTGTGTACTTACAAGTCTGGTTTTTTTTATGCGCGCATGACTTGGGCACCTAATAAATACTCTGTGCCAAATTGCAACTCCTGACATGTACTCTTTCATACATCAAAGCTGGTAGAAAAGCAGGCAGTATGATTTTATAAACAAGACATAATCCTGTTGACAATTAATATTTTTAAGGTAATATTGTTATTGTATAACAACTTCTGTTAGACATTTAATAAAATAAATTTCAATTTTTTTTTTTTAAATTTATAAACAAAACTGTTCAAACTTCTCTAGAAAAACTAAAATTTATTGTTGTGTATTAAATATTTTTTATTAATAAAAATTTAAGATTTGTTTTACTTTTTCACATTTAGTTTTATTTTATTTAATGTTTTATATTTTTTGTGTGCTCTATTTATTGTGAGAAAAGGAGGAGGAGGAGGAGGCCCATAATAAGAAAATGTCTAGGTGAAAATGAACCCCCAAAGTGGGTTCATTTTAAATTAAAACATGAAAATTCTATGGATGAGCTGGAAAGGTAATGGTGTCTCCTGGGAGGACTTTCTACCAGAAGCTGGTCTGTACTTGGGTGGGTAAGCCCGGTGCGAACTGGTTGATGCCACGGCTCGTGATATAACACTTGTATTTCTTAAAAACCAAGGAACGCTTCCTCTACTTATCTACTAAGTATCGCTTGGAAGATTTTGCTTATAACGTGACAAAAATCAGCGATTATAACGGTGCTTCTTGCTACAATCTCTTGTGTAATTCATTGGCAATATAATCAATTAATAAGAAATATACAAAATATCTTTAATGATATATATTTAATTATATACTAGATGATGACCAGGCGTTGCTCGGGCAAAAAGTAACGACAGCCCTCAAACTTAAACTTAACCAGGTTTTAGGAGGATTCTTATAGATTCTATGGAACAATCTATAAGAATTACTAACACCAATATTCCCATAATATCTGGGAAATTTCTAAAATTTTTCTTTATCAGTCTCGGGAAAACAGCAAGACTTGCATATGAAACAGAAATGCCTTGAACTTAATTTTTAATTTATATATAAGAGTTTTATTATGAAAATAATCTGTAATACAAGACTAATAATATAATCTTTTCAATGAATATGATAAATCAAATGTTATTTCACACACCGATTTGTATTTCTTTAAATATAATCTGTTAGTTTATAGTTACAATCACATCATTAAGTGCAACTAAACAGTACAGGTAATAGATAATACCAAAAATTAACGAGTTTCATTTGTTCATTCGTGCAAAGAAACAAATTCCAGTAGTGTTTCCAAAAAATATTTATTAATATTTTACAACGCCAGCGGAAACTATAAAACACTTTAAATGATGTAAAGGTTTTTCATGCTTGCTGTATTTATAACTGTTAAAACAAACTGGACAGATGCATCAAACCAATCTCACCCTCTTCAGGTTTAGAGATCTGTTATCATACTAATTAGTCACCTGTCGTGTTCGTTTTTTTTAAAGGAAAATTGTATCCCCATTAATCGAAAATGATCCATATCCTAATTAAATCAAGCTTTAATTTGAGTTTAATTGCAAATAGGTTAGGAACGGATCGATTCGAGAAATGGGGATTTAACTTCAGCATCCCTTCATTGACAGTTCGGCCCCCGATGACTTTGTTGTTTTAAGAGTTGTGAATAACTGAAACGAATAAAATTTTACGAATGTATAATAATTAATACTATTAAATGTAACAAGCATATATTTATGTTTTGTCATTTTAAATTTACCTCTGCACAAGTTGGATGTATGCCTATTGTGGCATCTAACTCCTCTTTTGTTGTGCCCTTCTTTATCGCTACTGCAAATCCTTGAGTGACTTCTCCGGCATTTGGACCCAAGTAATGGAAACCAATGATTTTTTCCTACGAAGAAAAATTTTAGATTCTTTTAATTCTCATAAATCCTATTTTTAGTAACTTAAAAACATATAAATATTTTTGAATGTAAGTGTTAGAACAGTTTATAATTTATTATCACAAGATTGAAGATTCTGTTTACCAAGAATTAAAAAAAAATATTCATTAATTTATATTTTCAGAAATTATATACAAGACATTATTCTATTATAAGGAGAAATGTCCAAATGTTTACGAAAGATCTACGAAAACTTGTAAAGACTGTATTTTATGTTAAATCGTTCGTAATTTGTCCGATATTTCGACTTGAAATATGCTCAAGAATTTTAAACCATTTTCTAATTTGTTTTTATTTTTCATTTATTAGTAGAATTAAATTAAAACGCTCTCATTTTTTAATGCCGATTAACATAAAATTAGTGAACAGATTAACTGCTAATTACTATTTCGATGGCTTTAGAAAGTGAAATGTTTTCTGTTCTTTTTTTTTCGTTCTGTGGTGATTGAGATTTTAATTAATGCACAACAAATTTCTGAATTATTCCAAATTTTGCTAATTTTATACAATTTTATAATTTTATTTACGGAGTAGCGTAATTGGCAACGTATCTGGCGCGGTAAGCGGGAGTTGTGGGTTCGAGTTCCGCTCCGGGCAATTTTTTTCTTCTTCCGGTAGTTCTAAATTGTTTAATTAAAAACTATAACTATTAAATTTAATATAGTCCTTTTACATTTTCGTTTCGAAGACAAATAATTTTTGCATAACAGGCAACTTGTTCTCTATGAGCAATTTCCCATTCTAGAGGCGTGTATAGTGTATGGTAGACCTGAAAAATATAAATGTTTAATCAAATATACTTCATAAATTATAACATTTTCACTTAAATAAATAATTATAAAATTGTACTTTTATCTTAAAACATATTTTAAAATGTCAATTAATACCTCAATGTTATCACGTCCAAATTTTTCTATAGCTGCTTCTTCAGAATAACCAACGCATCCGTATTCTAACGGAGTGAACACTGTAGTAGGTACATTTATATAATCACACTACAAAAAATACACAAATTTTTATTAAAAAATATTCCAAATTTTACAGCGTAACTTCTGAAGATTTAAATTCGCATTTTAATAGTTTGTTTTAATCAATTCTTACTTGAATATTGCTTCCGGAAAACATTCTTTTTGCTAACAACATCCCGGCTTCGATCGCCACCGGAGTAAGCTCGGGTTTTCCTTCAAGTACATCTCCAATTGCATAAATATTTGGAATGTTAGTTTGTTCATTAATGGCTGGAATCTTGAAATTTCTGAAACCAAAATTATTTTCAGTTAATTACTTTAATTTCTTAACTAAATTCTATAGAAAAGAAAATATACAGTAGTATTTATTGGAAGGTTGAAGAGAGAAGTTCAAGAAAGCAAATAGAAAAATTATCAAATTAAGATAAATCATAACCCCTGATCTGTATAAAGGGTCAAAAAATTAATTAATTACTCTATGATAATTAAACTAAATGTTTTACATAATAATGCAAAATCAAAATTTTACACAGGATGGTAACAAGTCTCTCCCTGGCCATTTATTTCAAAAAATTTGCTGATGCATACTGTGATTGCACAATTAAATGCCTACAATGCTTAAAACAAATGCAAATTTCCATCTCCTCCTGTTGTAATCTCAACATCTAATGAAAAGAGTGCAACATTGCCCATTATAAAATTTTAGCCCATGAAATATATATACTATTACCTTCTAGTACATTCCAAAATATCAAGAGAGATCCTGAAACAGTAATCAAATATAATAAATAAATGCTTCACTGCATAATAGAAATGCAATGTGGGTGTGGTTGACTAAGCAATTAGGTTTAATTAGCAGTGATACAAATATGCAAATGATCAGATCTAATAGAAAATAACAATCATCATTATACAAAACAGCACTAACCTAATCATATCACTGCCAATGTAAACCTAACACAGCTTAGTCAACCACTTTTACATTACAGTTGTGTTTTGCAGTGAAGCATTTACCTTTAATATTTGACAACCTGTTTCAGGATGCACTAAAGGGTAATAGTATATATTTTTTCACGTGCTACAACTTTGTAATTGACAATGTTGTAGGGGCTAAGATTACAACAATGCAGTTTAATAGACGGGCTGGAGGATATTCGTATCGTTTGAGCACAACACACAGCATGCATCAGCTAAAAGTCTACAGTCTACAACGCCCAATTACTTTTGAAATAAACTACTGGAGAAAGACTCGTTACCACTGTACATAATACAAGATGTCCAAAAATTATTTGTACAACTTTATCCTGTAATGAAATTTATGGTAACACATATAGGATTACTAAATTAGAATTTTAAGAATCTATATTTTCCAAAGTTTCTTTTATTAAAGAATCAATGTTATAAACATTTGATATATGCACCATTAGTGATTTGCAAAACATTCCATCAATATTCCAAATGGTGCCATGTACCTTGCATCAAGGTCCAATATGGTGATGTGCCATCTTATTGAAAAATGGTGTGTGGACGCAGTTTAAGTTGCAGACAAAGTGTTGCAACATGCCCGGGTAAGTATTGCGATCGCTATTGATTCACTGAAGCAATAACTTTCTTAATGTTTTGAGTGTAAAAAAAAAACAGTTTACATTAAGCATTAAAAATTTTTCTTAGAATACTTACTTAGGATTGATATTAACTCCCACTTTTTCCAATCCTATGTCAGTTGTACACGCATTCCTTCCAATTGCAAAAATAACCTAAAAATAAACAGTTATATAAAATGCATTTTAATTGTGATCTTGGTATATTATAAAAATGAAAAATACATTAAAAATATAGTTTTGTCTACATAAAATACATAGGAGAAATTTAAAATGCTTTCACTTTTCATTATGTCCAATAACCAGAAACAATAGTCCCAAATGCAGAGATGTACTTTTATTCAAAATGGCTATGTATTTACACAATAAAATACATAGATCTTCTTAAACTGTTTTGCTTATTTTCACAGAGGTGTGAGGTTTTGAATGAGGTTCAAACTCTGCACCAAATTTTGTTGAAAAGCTTTCCACTTAGAAAAGGAATTTCATAATAAGAAAGGTTTATTTTCACAATGTGAAAATAAACCTTTCTTGGATTTGATTTCCTGACAAACTCGGTATTGGGTGACGGCAACAAACACCACACACCTTTACAGAGGCATAGCTTCTAATGAAAGTTTGTCTCTGTAATGGAAGATTGTCGTTCCTGGTGATAGTAGAAACTAAAATGTCTATTGTGTCCAAACTATTTTATCGCGTAAATATTGTCAGCCATTTTTTATTGAAATTCACCATTTTTTTTAATGGGGGTTTCTAAAGGATAGCATTTGTGTAAATAATTTCTGCAATTAGGATGACTTGAAACACATTTCAGCAAGCACAGTGGCTATCAGACAAACAATGCTGCAATAAATGAGTAGATATATGTCATGGAGTGGATATTTGCCTCCAGATGGAGGATGGATACTTCCAGTATCTACTCTTAAAATTTCTGAGTACAGTTGATGGATTGTATACATTTTGTTCTTTTATACTTTGTGCACACAGGTCATGTTTTATTAACGAAAAAGTTTAGAAAGATTGAGAAAGGAAACTTTTGGGACATCCTACATTTGCTATAAACATAAATTAAAATATAGTCTCCAGTAATAGCTAAAGAATCAAAGTTATAGAAAAATAATTTAACTTACAGTATTGTATTCATCAACTACTTCTTCACTGGTTTCAACCATTTTACCAGTTACTTTTAAACGTCCAGGTTGTCCATTTTCTAGACATTCAATCTATAATTACAATAGTTTAATTCATATAAATTTTAACTCTGCATAAAATTCGCCCCGATTTACCTTTTCTGGGATACATTTTCGAATAAATTTAATTCCTTCTTTTTCCATGTAATCGCCTATTCTATTAGCCATCTCTTGATCAAAACCACGTAGTAAAATAGAGCGCACCATAACGGTGACATCTAATCCAATTCCATGGAGAAATCCAGCACATTCTAAAGCTACATAAGATGCACCAATCACTAACGTTCTTCCAGGACAGTACGATAGTGAAAATAAATCGTCACTGAAAAAATAATAAAAACAAATCTTTAATAAATATTCGATTCAGTTTAATTTATGCCATTAAAGTGGAAAATGTAGTTGTTTATTACTAAAGAGAAAAATTTATATATCATCCTTATTTTCTTGTATTCTAGATCAGTGATTCTCAAACTTTTTCGATCCACCGCCCCCTTTGTTCCATAAAGTTATACCCAACGCCCCCTAACCCATTTTCTCTTGTGTGAGAAAAGGATTGGAAATATTCTTATGAAAACTTTTCTATGAATATCACACTTTGTGCCCTTACTGTGCATTGTTCTCATCATCTGGAAACCATTAAACGCAATGTTTCCTCTTATCAGCCCCAATTTTGCCTTTGGTCACCGTTCAATACCCTGCCTCTATCATAGATCTATTCATCACGCCAGAAGGGGGCGTTATTGCTTACTTTGAGAAACGCTGAGCTAAAATAAAAGTCAATGTGTTAGAAATATTCAAGTTGTGACCTTCAATAAAAAATAAAAAATATATAAAATGTCAACATTTTATATATATTCCGTCAAATTTTTATATATAGAATTTGTCTGCTGTCGCCCCTCTATATTTCCTTAACGCCCCCCAATGCTGTTTGAGCCTTCTACTGCCCCCCTGAAAGCCTCCAGCGCCCACAAGGGGGCGTTATCGCCCACTTTGAGAAACGCTGTTCTAGATGAATTAATTATAAATTTTATAAGGAGTATAATTAAAATATTCTTGTTTATGATGATGTGCCATGACTATGCACGAATAAAATGGCGGCTACAATGGCTAATACATGGATCTGCCTCTGAGTGAAATGAACTTAAATCAAATTCAAATAATTAGAAATTTTTCAGGATAATGTGGTTCTATCCATTATCTGTCTAAATCCATATTAAGTACAGTGATACCCCGAACTTATGTGATAGGTGGGACCGAGCAATAACCGCGTAAGTCAAATTCACGTAAGTAGGGGTATAATTTCACAATTTGTGTAAAACCCAAGTTGGATGTATGTAAGTTAATAAATGTTCTCGTTAATCTTATCTTGTCTTTTGATTCGTTCACAGTTAGAAGAAATCACTACATAGTCTCTCAAGTCTCTGTAGATATAACAAACACAGAAATAAATAACACAAAATAAATTGTGGCTATGTGTCGATTCCACGCGACACGTCTGAACATGTAAGCCAAATAATAGTGTGAGGGGATTGAGTAATCGAGAGTTGCTTGGCGCTCAAAGAAAAGGCGAATCAACACGATTTGAAAATCGCATAACTCCGAGTTTGTGTAAGTCGGGGTGACGTAAGTCGAGGTATTACTGTATATTAAAATGATGAAAAGATTAAAAAAAACCAAGAATACAAGAATAGATTTACTTAAATTTGATATCTAAACAGGATGAAAAGAAACAGTATTTATTTCTTTAGTTATTTGTTACAGATTTCTAAATGCTTTATAAATTTTATCAATTTAAAATGGTAACAATGAAGGTGATTCGTCAAGCTCTATTTTAAAAGATATAACATGTCTTTAAAACTGATGTTGTTACATCGTTGAGGATGGATACGAGTACATTTGTAATCACAATTATTGTCGTTGAATTTTCTTCGTAAACAGTAAAATTGTTTCTACGAGACAAAAAATAAATGTTTGACGTTGCAAACAATTCAAAACAGAATATAAACAAAATTATATTTTGTTTATGTTCTGTATTTATTATAGTAAAATTGGTTTCGGTATATGCTGTTTTCACTTAATGATGCAGTTTCTAATAATCTATCGACGATATTAAGTAAGGATTTGTTGTGTATTTTATTTACTTTTGAAAACTTCTGTATATAAAGTTTCAACTTCAAATCTGAAAAATGATGGTTCAAGTATTTTATTCATTGCTGCAATAAATGTGGATCACAAACCAGTCTCATATTTAGACATAAAATATTAGATATGTTTATTATCATAAAATATATGCTAAATTAAAAAATATGAACCAATGAACATCACTAAAAGTCTAATTTTCTATAAAATTTATGATATTAAATATACAAGCAACAAATAAATACTTTGTTCCTCGAAATCAACAGTCAGTATTTACATATAATTCTGTGTAGAGTAAGTAGAGTAACTATCATATTTTCTTCTATCTTTTCATATTTAAATAATTGCACTTATTTAATACCAGTGATCATAACAGTCTATTACAATAAACTATTACCTGGTTATTCCGTATTCCTTAGCTCCGGGACAATCCGGATAACGAGGTCGTTCTCCTGTTGCAATAATGACCTTATCTGTAGTGATAAATGTTTCTTTTCCTCTTTTATCAGTTACCTGTAAATAAAAGTTATACTTTCAATTCTTTAGTAGTAATATAAGAAACTTAATAAGAAATTAAATAAATATATATTTCTCATACCTGCAGTTTGTGAGGACTAACAAACTGTCCGTAACCATTAATATACTTTGCACCATTCTCTCTTAGAGCTACTCTGTATTTCCAATTTAGGGAGTGTATATGATCTTGTATGGCATTTTTCATTGCTTCCCAATTATGCTTAACTAAATATAAAATTTCAAAATGTATAATAATTGTTTCATATTAATATTACATAATCTGAAAACAACTCGCTTGCATAAATTAAAAACAATTCAACAATTTATTTGATGTTACCAAATGAAACTCACAATTATAAGGCTATTCAATTCCCTTTATTATAGAATATGATTAATCAATTCATGTATTGTTGCTTCAAAATGTGCAGAAGATTGTATATTACATACAGGTTCATAACACGACAATTTTATTAAAATACAGGAATTCAAATTGACGCAGTCAATCTTATGTAAATCCAATACAATATTTCCAAATTATGCAATTCGCAGTGAATAAATATCAGAAAATAATCGTACTCTCTATTAATTATACGATAAAATAAACCATTTAATGCGCATCTGGAAGAACTGCAAAAATGTCCCCAATTTCCTTATTAGCTTCTGCAAGAATTATCATCATTTTCTTTAGTTCTTTCACCACTTTTGCAGCTTTTCTTCCTGTTTACGAGCTACCATAACTTCCTTGTATCTCTGGGCTGCAATTCAAGTTGAATGGATAAACTATTTTAATACATCCAATTTCCCCAATCTACTAGCTTACATGATTATATCATGTAACTTAAGCTACAAATATCTCTTCTTTTTGCTTTCCCATTAAGCATACTTTGTGGAAAATGTCTTTGTATTTCTTAGCAATTTTAAATCAACTGTAGAATCATTTATCTAGTTATTAGCCATAAGACTTTCTAATGTAATATCTAGCAGTTTTTGTGCTCTCTCTCACTATTCCTTGTATAACTTTTAGACAAGATCAATTTGTATTTCAGTGGCAACTTTTCCAAGAATTTGGTGATTACAACTCAGTTTGCACAGTCTTTTCAAATTTCTAATATCACTGTCAGTTACTCCCTTCATTCTAACTTTCCTAATTTTCTGATCTTAAGTGGCACATCAAAAGTTATTATACTATTACTATTATTTAAAAAGTATCTCAAGTTTTAAAAACAAATTTAATTTTTTTATTAGAAAAACTTATTAGATTTCTTGTGATTCTACATTTAAAATTTTTCACAAACCAGTACCAAGTTACAGACAATGGACAAGTTTCCTAGTAAAGCTGCTGGAGGGTACTTTATACATTTGCAAGCTTCGAAAGGCTTTGATTGATATCCACACGAAACACTTCTATACCTCAGCTACTCGGCATTGTTTGGCTCTTTGTATATGTTGTTTGGTATTAATAAAAATGTTTAGTTTGAAACAATGCAGAAATGCGGCCGAGACTATAAAATATCGCAGGTAGCTGATCAAGAAAATTTAATATTGCATAAAAATGCAATTACCTATATGGTAAACAATAATAATAGAACATGTGCACTTGCCATTATTAATAAATGTGAAAATGTTTATGTTGAAACAGAAGATTGTGGAATTGCATTTCTAATTTTTCTGTCACAATTTTCATTTGAGGTACAGTATAACATATATGTATAATTTATGGTGGCAACCATCTTAACTTCTGTCTTCAGTGCTTGTGAACCTGCACTAGCACTACAGTGGGTTTCTTAAAGCAGAAGTAGCTTAACTGTCTTTTAACAAAGTGGCTTCGTTAGGAAATGCACCCAATATGCTCTCTCTAAAGCAGCATTTTAATCAAATATGTAGGAAAATTTATCTCACATATGAAGCTCTGCAACATAATCTTTATGAAACTATCGGTTCTACAATCACAGCATAAAGCTTCTCTAATAATACAATAGAATTTTGTAAGATGATCACGCATATAGGACAAGATGTGACTTTAGAGATCAAAATAAAGAAAATTAAATTTATTAATACAATTCTAATTTTATTTCGTTTAATCACAAATCAATTACTATCAAATGCATGTATTAAGGCAAACAACCATGTTTGCCTTAATATGTGATGAATGGAAAATAAAACCAAAAACATTATAATGCACAAGACCAGAAAAAGTTAATTTCTTAATGATTCGGAATGTGCTAATACAGCAGAGCATCGATTATCCAAAACAATTCGGTACTGGGGTTGCTCGGATAACTGATCATTTACAAAAAAAATATATTAAACACAAAACTGTACTGTATATATTTTGTATCACATGTCTTACAAATACATACCTCACAAAGTAGTATATTAAAGTAGGCCTATAGTTTAGGTTCGCAGGGAGGGAGGGAGGGAGTGCTGCAGCGCCACAGCACTAGCGGAAATTTGAATTTGTTGAATGGAACGCTTTCAGTTAACCAATGTTTCGGTTGATCGGTATTTGGATAATCGATGCTCTACTGTATTCCTTAAAAATAACAATTTAACTAATAAGAAATAACTACATTTATAATCATTGCTAAGTGACCTGTATTTCATTAATGATTTTAGAAATAACAAACTATTTTCTGCAAACGAATGAGATGCACAGTGGTTTTAATTGGTGGACGTAGGATTAAACTTATAAACAAAGGGGAGTGTCTTAATTTGTTTATAGTAGGTGCCAACTTATGATAAATAGACTGTAGACCTATAATGGCAGCATGAACTACACATGGTTCACAGAAATTATCGCAAAAACACTTTGGGTTTTAGACCAAATAACCACAGATCTTAAAAAAAAAAAATTTATTTGGAACTGGGGCAAAAGGACTGGCACCGGTACAATGCACGTGGTAAGAATGAACTCGAGAGCAATGCAAAGAATCCTTTGCTCGTGCGTATAGGACTACCTGGGTTTTCGAAGCAGTGCAAAATGAATGAAAATCTCATCTTATACACAAGTAAATATGATATTTAGCTTAATTTAAAAAAAAGAAAAGTTTTTAAAATAAAATAAAATTTACAAATTTGTGTAACATTAATAATATGAGATTGAAAATAATAGAGGGTAACTGATAAGTATACATACGTTTTAGTTTTTATTGTTCAAATTAATGTAAGAAAAGTAACAAATGAAGAGAATATGGCTAATAAAATATACACCAAGTGGCCAAAAAATTACACACACCCCTTATTTGAAAGTAAATCAGTCCAATGGTGATGTAGAGTGACATAACAATGCAGAGTTGCTTATGTAAGGTATGCTCAGCTTTGGACAATGTAGTTATCATGGAAGTTAATGTCAAAATGGGAAAGACGAAAGATTTAAGTGATTTTGAACGAGGGATGATCGTCGGTGCAAAAAGAGCTGGTGTCAGCATCTCTGAAACGATAACTCTCTTAGGATTTTCTCGCCCAACAGTAACTCGGGTGTATAGAGAGTGGCAGTTGAGAAAAAAACTTCAAGCGATAAGGACAATTCTGGTCGAAAAAGATTGGTGAATGAGAGAGGTGAAAGACAATAACACGACAAATTACAACTGAATTCAATGCACTTGCATCACAAAGCATATTTCAACACACAACAAAACACACTTTTTAAAGGATGGGCTTTAGCATCAGGAGACCATCAAGAGTGCCTTTGGTATCACAGAAAAATAGGAAAAGGTGCCTGTTGTGGGACTAGGAACAATGAAATTGGTCACTTGAGGACACTGGAAAAAAGTAGCCTGGTCCGGTGAATCTCATTTCCTGCTCCATCATGCAGATGGCAGGATCAGAATATGGTGCAAACAGCATGAATTCATGGACCCCTCTTGCCAAATGACAACTCTTCAGTCTGGTGGCAGTGGAATTATGGTGTGGGGAATGTTTTCCTGGAGTTCACTGGATCCCTTGATATTTGTGGACACATCTCTGAATAGAACAGCTTACGTCAACATCATTGCCGATCACGTACCCTCATTTATGGCTGTAATGTTCCCTGATGGAGATGGTCACTTTCAGCAGGACAATGCATTTTGTCACTGTGCTTGATTGGTCTCAAATTGGTTTGAGGAACATCAATCATAGTTTAACCTGCTTCTATGGACAGCTCAATCCTATGGAGCATTTGTGTGACAAAGTCGAAAGATCACTTCAAAGCTTGGAAACGCCACCATCCAATCTGACCCAACTTAGAGCTGAAATTATGTTAGCACGGGGCCAACGTTCCTCAGCAACGGTATCAGTAACTTGTTGAATCCATACAAAGAAGAATATCAACTGTGATCAGAGCTAAAGGTGGACCAACTCGTTATTAGAGTGTGTCTCTAATCTTTTGGCCACTCAGTGTATTAGCCTGTTATATAATGAGAAGAAATTAAACTCAAACATTATCTATAGTGCAAATGTAATAATTTGCCTGCTGTATACAAACATTTCATCCATCATTTCCTTTATTCTGTTATTTTCTTTAATTTATTTTGAAATTGAATATCCTTAATCAGCAGCATCTATTGGACAAAAGCTGTTTATATGAATCTTATAAATCATTTTTATTTATGAAAGTATCAGTGCCTATAAGCAATTTTTCTGATAATCAACAATCTATGAAACCATATGTATTGGAAGTTCAGTAATCACAAGTGTTTTATTTATGAATAATAACTGTTATTATTCAACGATACCAATTAAATTACGGGTACTACATATTCAGACAAAAGACAGAAATCCGTCATAATTAGCATTTTATCATAAGACAATGTGAATAATTAAGATATTCCTGTTTTATGTATTATGAATTATATATTTCTATTTCATATACATACACACACAACTTATAAACAAGTAGATATTAAAAAAAAAACTTACCATCTGGAATTTCCCAACCATAATGTCTTGCGTCTTTAATTGATTGACCTGGAGAAAAAAAAAAAAGCAAAACAATGTCAATTTTAGTTGAGAAAGATCTTCAAAAATACAGTAAACTAGACATTAAAGTTTTTAGCATGCCGTCACAATTTAATTATAATAAATAAACTATTTATGTAACAGACTTACCAAGTATTGCAGCTTGATGCATCAGTTTCTTAGGAATGCAACCAACATTAACACATGTTCCACCTAATCCTAAATATTAAATAAATCTGAAATTAATTTCATTATAACTTATTATAATTTTTTAATATTTGTTAATTTTTTTTAATATCTGACAAAACTAAATATGTAAATTTAAAACATTTACCAATAAACTAAATATGAATGATACATAAAATATATGAAAATACTGCTTTAATGTTTTTAATGGAAAACTGCAGAGATTAATGCTGTAAAGACCATTGATATTAGTATTGCAAGTGTCGATAATTAAATTTCCTCTATGAATATCAATATCTCATTTTAAGTTTCCATTCAAATTAGTTAATTATAAATCATTCAAGCAACATGGAGAAAAGCATTAACATTCCTTTTTTTGAACTGCATTTATATTTGTTTTGAGATGATAACGTAATAGTACACGGAGAATAGTGTAATACAGTGTTTCTCAACGGAGCGATATCGCCCCCACGTGGGCGTTTTTCCATGTTGAGGGGGCGATTAGTAACAATTTATATTTTAAGGGCGAAAAATAATTTTCTGGGTGATATAGTAAAACATTATATTAAGAATAATTAGATATTTTATTCGTTATATTGTACAATAATTAAACAAATAACATTATACTAGTCACTAGTCTATTCGATGCAGTACGAATTTGGCGTTAGCCTCGGCCCTCAGCATCGGAATTTTGTAGTGAAGGGGGCGGCGATTCGTTAGAGGTTGAGAAACACCGGTGTAATATATATCACCAACATTTAAATATAAATACAGACACAGGATAACACAGTTCTTCATAGTTTTATTACCGTTACAAAATAATTCAATAATTTACGATTAAATATGATATCACATGATAGTAAAGTATTTTTTCTCACTCTTCTGAAACTGTTTAGTACAAAACAATGCTATCTTGTCGAACATCTTTATTTCATAAATCACCATTAAATAGATTATTTCCTAAATTGCCATTTCCATAACAAAGATGTTTAGTCCAAAGTAGTGCTTACATTGTCAATCTTACAGAGAACTAAGTAAATTAAATGTCATAATGCAGTTCCAAAATTAACTAAAGTACATTTCTTAACAAAATAATGTGTTTGCAAATGAGAAATTATTTAAATTGAGCAACTAATTTAAAACATAAGTAAATAAGCATAATAAGCTAAGCTACATACATACATAATTTTAGGATTTAACTAAAAATATAAGTTAAAAATTAAAATTTTACCCCAAGATGTTCCAATTGGGGAAGGTTTCACAAAATCCAAAACTGCTACTCTCTTTCCTAAGGTAGAAGCAGTCTGAAAAACAAATATTCATATTATTACAAACAAGTATTATTATTAAATACAATAAAACCCTGCTAACTCAATTTTTTCAAAAAAACTGTACAGCAATTTAAAATTTCTTGACAATAGAAAAATTTTATTAATAATTATAACGATAACTATTCGTAAGTCTGTAATATTGTGCATGATATTCTGCAACTAATACAACAGTATTTCTAGCACGAACAAAATAACATTACTCAGATGATTTTACAACAGGCAGCAGATTCTTGTTAGTGCAAATGATCAGTTAATATCACCAATTTTTGGCGTCCTAGCAAAAAGCCTATACTATATTGTACGAGAGCGGTTTTTTCAACCTCCGATGGTCCATAAAAAAAAGACAAGTGTAAATAACAAAATGAATTTATTACCAAAAGTTAGGTACAGACATGGTTACTTTTCGACATAATCACCGTAAAGATCGAGGCATTTGTCATATCTGTGGACGAGCTTTTCCATCCCTTCTTCATAGAATGTTGCCGCCAGTGAATTGAGATGGCTTTAACAACGTTGTTTTGAAGATAGTCATTAGTCTCAAACTTCTGCCCTCCTAGCCATGTTTTCAATTCAGGAAAAAGGTGGAAGTCTTCAAACATTAAAAAGTTCCAAGCTGGTTGGAAGTTCATCACCATCTTAAGAAACCCAGCATATAGCCCTGATTTGGCACCGAGTAACTTCCACCTCTTTCCTGAACAGAAAAAGTGGCTAGGAGGGCAGAAGTTTGAGACTAATGACAATGTTCAAAACAACGTTGTTAAAATCATCTCAATTCACTGGTGGAAACATTCCATGAAGAAGGGATGGAAAGCTCGTCTACATGTATGACAAATGTCTCAATCTTTACAGTGATTATGTCAAAAACTAACCATGTTTGTACCTAGAATATTACATTTTGTAGAAATCTTAATAAAACAATAAATTTAGCTGGATTTTCGTATTTAGAATTTGGCTATCTTTTTCAGGTTTAAGAATTTTCATCTGGCAACAGCATATTATATGAAAGGATCGTATATTCTTTAACGCAACATCTATTTTGGGGATTTATTTGAAATGTCCTAATACTTATTAATTCAAATTTTTACAAGTAATAAGAATGAAGGAAGCAATAGTGAAATTGATGAATTGTAATAAAACATTTTCTATACAAAAGATTCTCATGTTGGTGACTGTTTTCATCAATTTATTCAAACTCAATGAGCAATCATTTATTGTGACATTATTACAATGCCAGGCTGCAATTTTTAATCATATTTTTAATTTATTTAATTTCAAATATATGCTCTCCACCTCAAATTAGTGGCAGCTTGTCCCCTGAACATCATAATTTTCCTGTTAACAATAGAGTCATGCTGGGTCATCTAACTCTTTTCCAAGGAAACTTTTTTAATTGAAATTACATGACTTCCAGTTTGTGTTGGAAGTTCATGTATGGTTAAATCAGGGCTTCCTGCCCCTAATACCCCATTTGCACTGAGCATTTTGATCTAGATTGCGACCAAGGTCGACGACTATGCCGTGGTATGACCTCTCCCGACTGAAACGAGGTTCAATAGTGATCGACTGGAGAGAGTTCTCGAAACTAGATCCAGTCATAAGAGAGATCCCACAATCCCACGCACGCGAGAAAATACAAGATGGCTGCGGAACACATGTTAGGCTATCGACAGAGAAATAAAAAAGACATCTGGAGAGACGATGACATCTGTCTATTATTAAATATATAACAAGAAAAAGTATTTATTTCTAACCAAAACTTCCATTTTGTTTGTTGGTGTTTGTGACTTACCGCATAGTTATGTCAGTTTTATGATCGTGTTGTAAGGAACCAAGTCCGAGTGTTATTTTTATTTTGCTTTTATTATATTTTGTTTGGGGCTTATGTTTAGTTAGGACGAAGGTTTCCTCACCCATCACCTTAGAAAGTTAAAAAAGAGAAGATAAAACCAACTCACCGACAACGCAACGAAAGCGCCATAGCTAGCAACTGCACTCACATGCACGCTCGAGCGGCAGATAGTAAGCCCGCACTGAAAGGGGGGAAAAGACCCTACAGACTTTTAGGAGACTTGTTAAACCTTAAAGGAAACATCCCGATAATTGTTTAAGAAAAGACTGTAAAAGGTTAACAAAGTATTGTCGGGAATTTAGCTACCAGATAAACAAGAAAAAAGTGAATGTTACGTATAAGTATGTAAATGAGCTTACAACTACAAATCCTAACCATCACCTCAATTATACTAGGAACCTTTTTTTCTAACTCAAGACTTTCCTATTCCTCGATCCACAAATCGAAACTGCCAACACTTTGGACTATTTCCTATTGGACACCTCGTTCACTGCTACCAGCAGACTACGCTTGATCCTTTCAGGAGCTCACCTCTCCTTTCTTCATTTGAGCTACGCTATTTATAGTCTGAGGTGACGTCACAGTTTCTAAGTGAGACACTCCCCTCATTTACATACTTATACGTAACATTCACTTTTTTTCTTGTTTATCTGGTAGCTAAATTCCCGACAATACATTGTTAACCTTTTACAGTCTTTTCTTAAACAATTATCAGGATGTTTCCTTTAAGGTTTAACAAGTCTCCTAAAAGTCTGTAGGGTCTTTTCCCCCCTTTCAGTGCGGGCTTACTATCTGCCGCTCGGGCGTGCATGTGAGTACAGTTGCTAGCTATGGCGCTTTCGTTGCGTTGTCGGTGAGTTGGTTTTATCTTCTCTTTTTTAACTTTCTAAGGTGATGGGTGAGGAAACCTTCGTCCTAACTAAACATAAGCCCCAAACAAAATATAATAAAAGCAAAATAAAAATAACGCTCGGACTTGGTTCCTTACAGTGTGTAATAACCAGGTTCTTCTCGAGTGGACTGCCTGTTTGAACAGCACGACGTTCGACTAGTGACAGTCACAATCCAAATTGTAGGTAAATTGAGATCGAAGTGAGTCGTGGATTGTGTGCGAACATAGTATTACAGAGGCTGATTCTAACAAGAATCTACAGTATATGTACATCTTAGAATCAAAATGACTGTCAATTTTTTCTTCTGAAACTGATATTGTAACATCCTGTAACTGTTTTGAACAATGTATAATAATTAAGGAGAAAATGGAGTCGTCATAAAGTAAAACAAATAAAATATAGTTCAAATAAAAAATACAAAACGTCTACTTTTATATTTCGATAACAACTCTGCTATAAATGTTAAATAATTATATAATTCAGTGCAATTTTTTTAGTTAAAAAAAATTTTATTTGAAAACATTTTTCCTTTTTCACATTACTTACTTTTGCAGCAGAAATTCCTCCTGAACCACCACCCACAATAACAAGATCAAAATCATAGTTTTCTTGCTCAGTTTCAATCTGTAAAAGTTGTTTCAATCTTCCTTCACTGTGTGCTTGAAATGTGTCATCGCAACCACCAATAAAAACTTTGTTTACAAACACTTGAGGTACAGTAGATTTTCCTGTCATTCCCGATAGTATTTTCTGGAGTTCTGGACCATCATCTGTGGAATTATAATTTATTTTAATGTCTTAAAAATCATATTATACATTAATCATTTTTTAAAATATATGTCGGGGCCGTGATTTTTGAGGATATTAAAATCCATTTTTAAAGAAGATTGTTATATCATTTCCGTCGCAATAGTCAGAAAAACATTGCACCAGATACAAATCGAATGACTTCTCTGTAAACAAATAGATGAGAATTTTAACAGTCAGTTGTGAAATGATAACAACCAATTGTGAAAGGAGAGCAAATTAAGCGACTCCATTATGTCAATGAAAGTCATTGTGGAACTAACAGCCGAGAAAGTAACCTTCGTATTCTAAATAACTGATGATCACATGACCAGGTTCCCACGCAAATAACATAAAAAGGACAAGACACCAGGAGTTCAGGACATTTGTCATAAGGAAGAGAGGAAGTTATACACTTGGTGCCATATCACCACGGATATCCGTAAATGAACATCCTCGGCCCATAAACAACAACAACTAGAAGACTCGTCATTCATTGACTATGAAGATCCCATAGGATAGAACGAATGCCACATCGACTATCAACTAATATTAGCGATATTAGTAGATATCTGTAAACTCTCTCTCCATGTTGAGAAATTATTCATGCCCCACACGGCACAGGAACTAGAATAGTCACCGCCTTGTAAGATTTTTTATCTAACCGCATTTAATCATCTACTGTATAATCCTTATGTAGATCATAGATTAGAGTTTTATTAAACTGTTTTGTTATTTGTTAACCTGTCTATCTGTCTTAAATCGAGTGAAAGACACCTATCAACGTACCCTCTCACCCTCCCACTCATTAATCGTGTTACAAATCACAAGTTAGGATGCAATTTAAATCATTCTAAACTTATCTTAACCGGTGTCAGCATCCTGACAGGTCTAAGATCTTGCGATCTTTGGCCTCTACATCATTAAAAGCCATTCTCAGACAACGCGAGCAGTCTTTGCCAGACTGTAGCCGATTAAGTGGTTGATAGGGACCCCCTACAGCCCCGTTTCTCACATATATAACTAATTTGACAAAGCAGTTTAACCTATTTTTTTTATTTAATTGCTTATGTATAATTCTTAAGTATTTCCAAAAAAGATTATTCCTTCTGATCAAAAGATTAAAATGAATTGATCTAGCTTATCAATTCATTTTAATCTTTTGAAATCCACACATTTATAAGAGGTTTCACTATCAATCTGATTTTAAAATAAAATGAAGACATACTCTGAATGCTCAATCAATCATTCAAGTTACAGCTTACTAAATTACATTACATTAAAAAATGCAAATGCTAATAACCTTTTACTCTATAAAGTAAAACTTCTTTTTTTTAAAAGTGAATACAGTGGTGCGTCATATAACGTACGCCTCGAATAACGGACGTTGTGAACAACGGACTTTCTGTTTGGCTGTTACGTTAGGCAAACAATGGACTTTCAGCGAACAAGTGTGAATGATGTTTCCACTCTTTTGCCATTGCCAATGACAATCTGCTATTTTTATAATATATTAGTATTATTAGAATATATTATTAGTATATCTGAAGCACAGAGCTCCCGTTGAAATTCGGCTTGCTCCCTTGTTTATTACGTACAGTACTGTACATCACCTCAGTGCAGGGTATTTACATTTATTCAAGTATTGTGCAAACATTTCACATTTCTGTATTTTCAACAAATTAAATAATAGAAAAAAATAATTTATTTGCAAATTTAAATACATATTTTCCATTCAGTTATTTAGCTATCTTTGCAGCAATAATATTTATAAAGCGTTCTTCATTTATCATTAAAAATGAAAAGAACAAGCCTGAAATATTTACGTTTTGAAATTCTTTTTGTCCGGTTAACTTAGAAAAAACAATGATAAATTGAAATTAGATCTTAACTTCTTTAGGGAACCAGCTTCTGGGTTTAAAATATTTATGCTGTTTCTGACACAAAATTTATTACTTTAATGAAGCTGACCCAAATAAAGTTCTGAATGTACATAGCGATAAGAACCGAAAATTTTTTCAAGTGTTGTGACTCCGCCACCTATTACCAAACTAAATCCGACAATTCGCGATAATTTAATTTTTAATTGAAATTTTTCTGCTTTTAGCAGTCATAAGAAAATTTTAATACAAAAAAGACAATTTTCAATCCAATAATAAATGCTCAATTAGAAGTTATATAGTTTATTTCTTCTCATATTTTTCACTAATTCATACAATTTATGCCAATGTATAAGATCAAATATTTTAAATTGCAAATTAGTAATTTAGTATATATTTTTTTGAGAAAATATAATATGAAATTCCCACATTTAACAATAAAGAAATACAGTAGAGCATCGATTATCCGACCCCCGATTAACCGTCACATCGGTTAACCGACCGTTCCAGTCGGCAAATTTCAAATGTCCGCTAGTGATGCGGCATTACAATATTTGGCTATGTCTTGGCTCCTTTAATATTATTTTTGTTAAATTTTTGCGTGTTTTAACTGACATCAATGGCTCGACCATTGAAGGGAGGCCAATATTTAAACGAGACTTAATTTTCTAATTATGAGTGGTTGTTTGTTTCGTGAGCAATAAAATAATTTAAAAATAATTTTTAACGACACAATAGCGACGATTATTATTTTAAAAAAATTTGTTAGGCTAAACATCGATGAAAATTCAATGCGAAGTTGGTTAATAGCGATATATTAATAAACTAATTACATGGGATATACTAATATTCTAATATACTATACTAATAATGTATTTTTTTCCTTCTTTTCGGTTATCCGACCAATCTGAGTCCCCAATTGAGTCGGATAATCAATGCTCTACTGTAATCCCGTTAATCAAAAGTACAAAATTATTAGAAAAAGAAAGCATCTTGTTCAATGATAAGCATCACACAAAATATAACAGAACTCTTCACACACAGATATTTAAACTATAAATATAAAATGCATCATCATATTATAGAATTTATATTTTACATTATCATATTCTAGTTATACTTATAATCTTATCTAATTTTATAAAAATAAAATGTAATAAGAATATATAATAATAATTTTTAAATCTTACATAATAATACACTTATTATAGGAGAGAAAATCAATAATTAAAATGAATGATTAATAATAATAGCTTTTATAAAAATAAATTATCTGAATCATCTCAACATTATGACTACTATTGAAACTATTCTTCTGATTTGGTGTATGATAATATTAAAAATGAACTGTTATTTATGACGTAAAACTTATCTTTTAGTGATGGGACAATTAATCGGAATCGAGAAAATCTCAGATTCTTCCACATTTCATAAAGAAAATTAATTACTTGTTTCACTCAAAAGATTAAAAATTTTTTAAATTACGATATTAACAATTAAATATTAGTTTATTGGATACTTTCGTGTCGACAAAGCAGAAAGTATGTGACGTCTGTCATGGTTAAACTGTTCCCATTTTAGGGGAGATAGGGTGACTTTAGAGTTGTCATCTGACCGGGTTGACCAGCAATCTGTATTCTGTATACATGTATATAGGTTGTTTTACACACCTTTCTGTTACACCCTGTATATTAAAAGCAAAGTTTGTGGGACATTTTGCAGCAAAACAATTTGAAATGTAAATAAAATTATATTTTAATTGAAACAATATTATATAAAATTGTATCTATTATTTAGTATGTTTACTTATAATGATAAAACGACTCTCATTATAATCATGAAAGTTTGTGATGATTCACAGATGCTGTAGTACGTCGAATTTTCAAATGCAATTCACACAATTCTGAGTAAAATTACTTGTTCGCTCTAAGTTTAATGCTGTTTTGAGTTAAAAAAAAATTGATTTTTCAAGACAAATCGGTCTAGATATTCATGGCTGAGTGAATGAATTCAAAAATTGGTTAACTTATGATGATATTTGCTCACTTGCTAAACCTCATTTAGTATTAAATACGATGAAATTAAATCATTTACAAGACATGCATTTTTTTCCTCAAGCTTCTCATAATGGGCATCTTCTCATTTATCTTCTCCTCCCTGCAATCATGGCATTGGCTAATGAAGCAGTTTCCAAAGATGGCGATGCTAAGGAATGTGATGGGGCAATTCTTTGAGTAAAAAGGGAATTAGCTGTAATTTCTTTGAGGATAATGTAGCAATACTAACTTTATTCGAATAAGATTACAAATTTATTTTGTAGTATACGATAAAAGCATGCGTATCAACATATAAAATGGAGAATTTTCACGTTTCTTTCGAAAGACTGATTCTAAATTTCCCAATCACTTTCTATTCTTCAGCTTAATGTTTATTAATTAATGAATGTACCGTGCTCGTAATGCAAATCATTTATTTTAGTTTAGAAAATTAACTTTAGAAAGTACTGTGTATTCAAAAGAATAGGAATCGGTATCGAAAGTGGGAGAAATTTTTGCATCATCCCATCACTAATATCTTTACATAAAATTCGTATTTATTTGTTTAACATTTATTTTATTGAATTATTAGACTTACAGCACTCGGTTTAATTAGAAGTTATAAATTGAAATGCTCTTTCATTATAATTAATGTTTAAAAAGTTACGAAATGAATTATTTAAAAATAAGTTATTAATTCTAATTAAATATTCATATAAGTTTATGTCTATTTTTAAATAAGTATTATGCAAGTTTAATACATTCTTAATATTAAGTAGTAGTTTTTGAAATCAATTTTGAATATTAAGCTTGTATAATAGCAGAATCGGGACAAACTGAAAATATACTTAAATTTTTTCAAGAGAAACTAGCGATGAATTGTTAGCATGTCATCATTAAGCTAAGAACTATTAACAGGGTATTCACCTATCGGTGTTTTTATACCTGCTGTAAAAATGTTCCAGACTGAAAATAACCATTCAACTATGATTTAGTGTTCTGAGAAGCAGTAGTATTTAATATTGTCTTTCCTAGAAATTTAGATCAAGCTCAGAATTCAAATATTCTGCTGGAATTAATTTAACACATTTAAATTATTGTTATTTCACTTTCAACTGCAATTTTAAAAAATTTCAAATGAGCTGAATTATGGTAAAATAACACGTTGCATACAAGTATATATAAGCGCAATTTTTTTGATATATATAAAATAATAAAATTAATTTTAACATTTTATTAATAGCAATAAAATGCTTTTCACAAAATATATAAAAATGTAACGCGAGAAACTTACCTATTTTATCCAACTCTAAAGCATTGTATTCGACAGGAAAAGAAGTGAATAGATTTTTTACCTGTTAAGAACAAATTATAAAAATTTTAATTCAATTTTTCTCCGCTCTCAATTATTTAATAAATTTAAAATGTACAAGAGAAAACATTTATATGATAGCGAGGTTGCGGCCGAAGTTTTCAACGCAAAAACGCAAACGTTGGACGTTCAGTGCCGCCTTCTTGTAAGCTTAGAAATTTGACAATGGCGTTTGGAACATCAATGGAATCATGCTCGACGTTCACGTTGAAAATGTCGGCCGCAACTTCTCTAATAATTTCATTTTACTTCTATTCTAACCTCTTCGCAAATACATCTGTTTTATGAAGTGTGGCTTTAGTAAACTACCAAATACAGTAATTTATATATCCCAAACATTCTAGATAATGGTATAAGTTTAATATTTTATCGTAAAAACTTGGCAAGAAAATATAGCGAGTGATAATTTATTTTTAAAATATACCATTATGCTGATATAAGTTAAATGTTTTCATTAAGGAGAAATCCAAGTATCAGGTATTTAATTTCAGTATACACGATTCTATGAATTATAGTAGTTTGTAATTTCGCAAGTTTTTACACTCATTCATGAATCAGCATTTTTCAGATTTATATTCTATCCATTTTATATCAAACAAAGTAAATTGATAATTCTTGTAAAAAGCTCAGACGAGTAATACAATTATTCATTGAACTATATGGAGACTTAAATATATTATTTGTCTAAAAAATGGTTATGTTTCGAAAGAGTACTTGTACATTGTAAAATATATTTAACAGAATTAAAATTAATGTTTCCTAAAGTTGTTATTTTTTAAATCAAATGATTAAGAAATTTCCAAAAATTTCACTGGTTTTTTTTTACCCCAAATAGTCACAAAAGAAAATGATAAATCAATTTAAGTAAATAAAATAATAGCAAGCAACACTTAGGCAATCTGCCAAGAGGGAGTGTCTTCTGGGAGAAATTTCTATGGGGAAACTGAGTTGTAGACATGAGGAAAATCTGGAAAAACCAAATAAATTGACCCGCTGGTCAGATGTGAACCCGTGACGAGCTATCAGTGTTCAATGGTTTTACCAATTTGGCCATTGGTGAGCATCTATATACATATTTCTATTATAAATTACTTTTTAGATAAAGATGATCTTAAGCAATAAACAAATAAAACATTAAGTAAAAAGATTAGACAAAATAAAACTCCCATTTTTATATATTATATATATATACACACACACACACCTACATAAATCTTCTAAGGATGGAATACACTTTATTTAAATGAGGTTATTAAAGTCCTGTTTCTAAAAATCAAAGATTAACAGTAAATATTCATGTCTCAATATGTAAAAGTTATTATTGTACTATTGATGTTTTCTTGCTCGATTTCATTTTATTTCAAACTCAAATAAAGCATTCGGAAGAAAATTTAACTAATAAAAATAGTCTGCAACTGTTAAGAGATTTTGACGATAGTATTCCGAATAACCAAAGCCAAACAATACGGCAATCGTTTGGCTTTGAGATGTTTATATAGGTATTTCAAATAAATTTTAAAAAAATCAAACATTTGTTTACAACAAATAAAAGGAAATTTCTATCTCTTTGAAAGGGCAAAAACCTATTACTAAGTGCAGAAACAGTCACTAATATTCTAAATCTTAAATTTCTTATAATACAAATCAAATTTTTGACAAATATTTCAGAAATAATAAACAGAGTAATTTAAATCTATAGAGATTTTTAAAAATTATATAAAAACTTAAATAAGTTATCTAGGAAGTCACAATTTAAGCTAACATCCTGGATAAATATTTCATTTTCTGGAAAGTCATGCAAAGCACACATTTAGTAATACGTATTTTAAAGAATTATATATCGCAATAAAATATTTGAAACCCGCACATAAAAATACATACTGAGAAATTAAATCTCTAAATAATTACATTTCAGAATTATGTTGCTAATATAAAAAAGATAAAATAAAACAAAGTAAGATTAAATTACTTAAATTAATATAAGAATGAACTAATAAAGTAAAAGCTTTTCGATCTAAAGCTAAGTAAATTCTTATTTGATTCAACTGCTACGGCATTAACAAATAATTGACCTTAACAAGTATTAGGCCTATATAAAATCGTCCTCCAATAGTCATGCTGCATAGATAAAAGAGAAATTGCAGTGTTATATGTTAAAATTAAAGCATACGTTTTATGTAATATATAATGAAAGTGCTATTAATCATTATATACGTCAAAAAATCAATCATCTTTTTGAAAAATCTATAAGCAGGTAGTAATCAGAAAAGTAAACAGACGTGAATGATGATAGAAAAATTACATTGAGGTGAGCAAGTTATCCTCTTTTATGATAAAATAAAAATTAATTAGCATATATTAATGTACTAAATTTTTGATAAATATGATATTTTATCTTTTAATGTATAACCAGTTACTGTTTTTATCAATGATATAAAGGATCATAATAATATATATGACATAGTATCTCTGCGTTTCTTTATGCAGCGAGAGTGTAGCAAAACGATGTCACGAGCAGTGTTGGCCAATTAGAAACCAGTTTCAGCGTGTTCGCCGTAAAGCGCTTCTTGAGCGCTGCATAAAAGAAACGCGGGGTACATCAGGATTATATAAAACTTTTTCTATTGAGAAATAATTTGCATTCATTACACAACTCAATTTTGCGACTAATTTACATTCTACGTTAACACAGGAAATTACAGAGGGGGAAATTCTAAATTAACAAAAAAAATATGAAAAGTTAACTAGAAACAAAAACCAGACTCCACACCTACACAAAAAAAAATATTCCATGCCAATACTTTATGTATAGAACAGAAATAATATCAATTATTATTATATATGTTATTAATAATTAATTAATTAATTTGAAAATATGTTAAACGACAAATATATAATTATTTCTTTAGCTAATAATTCATCTATGTTTATAACAGTTAAACCAAAATACACATTCATAAACAGATTAAAACTAGAATTAGAAAAAAAATAATATTTTCATCTATTTCTAATAAATTCTATAGTCATTAATATTTGTATTTTACATAGAATAATAGTACCAATAATTTTCTTTCTTGATAGTTCAAATAATGCTTATGTCACTGTGTAAAAATGTCTATTATACTACTATAAATTTATAATTTAATAAAATTTCAGTTCTAAATTTTAGGCTATAGAAAGCCTGTTCTGAATCATACATAATAGCAGAAGGAATAAAAAGTAAAATTACATTTGCCATTTAACTGTAAATTTCCAATTAAACAGTTTGCCTATTCATGAAAGTTGCTTCTTCAGAGTTTAGTAATACCAATAATGCTAAAATGTATTGTTTGGATTCATTAATTGAAATACCCCTATTCAACAATGTCTGGAAAGAAATTTAGCAGTCCAAATGAAAAAAATTTAGCACCAAAACTCATGGCCTACCATGAAAAACAAAGTTTTACTTGTACAAGACACTCACATTATACAGAGACCGTAACAATGAAAGGGATACTGCTAATATAGTCTCCCATTCTAAAAGGTATAAAACGTGAAGGTAATAGCGTGTTCGACAGCCAACCGTAACCGAACTCTGCGATGCTTCTCAAATGCAACGCAAGTCTTTCAAGGCTGCCAAATTTGCAACATATCCTCGATAAACCACACTTTTAAGTATCCCCGCAACCAAAAATATCGCTGATTAAGATTGAAGCGTGCTAGAAACGGTAAGTTTTGGGTAGCAATTTAGTTTTACAGAATTGTCTTCCGCACGTCCAGAAGCGCAACCGTACAAAATTAGTTTGCATTTAGATGGCTAAATTTCTCTACACGGCACCGAATAGGGTACTTTAATACAATCACCGTTATATATTTTACAGTACGTAATTATATAGTATTGCGTATTTAAAATTTATACGGTGCTGTCCATAAACGTCCGCGCAGGAAGGGGTAGCGGTTAAGACAACTAAGACAAAGGGATGGGGGTTGAGCTTTAGTGGACGACCGAAGAGGGGAGAGGTTACAGAAACTTGGACAAACTGGGTGAGAGGAGGGGAAATGAAAATTTCAATAAGTAATTTATGGATAGCCCCTATACAGTAATGTTTTATATCATTGTTTGTATTGAATTATATATATGTAGTATCTTAAAATCCGCTAGAAAATTTCGTGATCAGAACGGTTTAACACGTGATTGAAAATCTCTTGTTAATTGTATTGTTGTAAATGACGCAAGTCAATCGTAACAATACGTACCTTCGTACACAATACAAACGATACGGTTGAATTTTTCGTTTGTCATTTTTAAATTTTAACTAAAAGAACACTTAATTTAATCGTGTAAAGAATAAATGTATGTATAACAACCACTAAAAATATCTAAAACAGTCAAAAATTTGAAGAAACAATGGAGTAAAACTCACCTTAACACAAAAAGGACAGTAGGATTTACTAAAAATCATCACTTTATTAGATTGAATGAGGTTATTGATGTTAACTTCCATCTGTTTTGGAGCAACCGGCGCCATTTTCCAGCACCGGAACAACCGCCTCCACATGAAACGAATCAAACAATACTTTATACACGGGGTCAGTGTTACTACAGTATTACCTTGTCGCACTACCGCAGCGCCCCCGTCTTCTTCATTCTGACGTCACGGAATGACCGAGCATATTTTCTGCTGATATCACACGGAAGATTCTCCATTTCTATTATCTTTATGCAATTTATTGATAAGCAAATATTCGTTTATTAAAATTCTGAAGAATTTAAATACGCCATATTTATTTTTACTTCTTCAGACTCGATACAGGTCACGCTAAGATCAAGGATAACGTGTCATCCCGGGATTCTCGGAATTTATTATTTTTTTTTTGTTGGAGAAATTAGTGTTAAAATATCCTAAATCGAGATTTATTTACGTAGATAATTACGATAAAACGTGGTATAATTTTTTTTTATTTAGTAAGGTGTGTTTTCTGCAAAGCGCCTCGAGCGTGTCTGGAATTTTTTTTTCAATGGAGAAAAAATTGGGTCAAACAAGAAAAAAACTTTAATTTTTTCCTTTTAAACTCGAATAAATAGACGCAAAATTCCAAATTAAACTAAAATTTTCTATATTTTCTTAAAGCGTTAATAAAGAATTAAAGGTTAAATCGCGATTTCGATATCCATATAAGAGGGAAATACAGTCGATCCCTCTATAACACTTGATTATTCCGTTTTATATGAATTCCATGTTGTACGAGTCACTTAGATTTTACAAATACAGTACGTGAACCGTTCACAACCCGGCACACGTATTTGTAAAATCTAAGTGACTCGTACAACATGGAATTCACATAAAACGGATTATCAACAGTGTTATAGGGGGGATCGACTGTTAATGCCAATATTCTTTAATTGTAAAAGAATACATTTTATAGTAAACGGTAGGGATTTTTACACCGAAAACAAAACGAAATGTCCTAATTGTCTATGTCAATTTTCAAAGAAAAGATAAGGAGTTTACTCAGAAGCGGCGAAACCTGTTTTAACTTACTGGACACGCACTATTACACCCAAATACAGAATTACTTATTTTACTTTTGTTATGACGTAACTTCTTAATGACCCATTTTCGGCTTGTTTTTTTTTTTAAATAAAGAAATAAAATTCGCTACACAAAGCAAAAAACGTGTCATCTAAACACAAGATTGCCCATCTTACAGTTAGTGTCTCTCCGCCATTTTGAAATTTGACACCTTTTTTTTTTTAATATAAAAAGATGTCCGAATGTTAATTTATTTTTTTTCCCGCTGATATTAATAGTATTTGTACACAGAATGATCCTTAAAACGTTTCTGATGTCACACGTTCTCGTTTCTACTCGTAAATTGCCGCCATTGTCTATTGAAATTGTTGTTCCTGTTCCGTTCACGCGGATATTATCCAGAACAAATACAGAGAACAAGTGTCTTCTCGGTATGGGTGGTGTGTCGACACTTCGTTTTAACGACAAAAATAACATCACTTGCAGTGTCGCGATCGTCATCCGGATACGAGCGGATCTGACCTGTTTGTTAGATTTATCACCAACCAAGCGTGACACCACGTAAAAACCGTTGAACACCCGAAGTTTGATCCTGCTGGAAAGTCATTTAGCAACTGTACGTTTACGTTATAAACAACAATGGTTCATTATGGAAGGGGGACGTGTTAGAAGCAATCCCTAGCAGTTTGAATCTGAATGGTGCAGCTAATCTAGGTGAATCGTCACAGCGGTGTGAAGACAATGTATTCTGGATTGCCTGCTTCAAACGTGATTTAGAACCTTAGTTTCCAAGAAAATAAATGTTATAATAAATATAAGAGTAAAATATTACAGTGTATTGTAAATAAGCTTATATATAGTTGTCTTGCTTGTTATCAAAGATCAAGGAGATAGTGTTGGCTGATAAAAACAAATTAAAAATGAACTTCCCTCCTTAAAGTTGAAGAAAATAACATAGAAAATTGTCATTTGAATGCTGCTATCTGCAGTAGTTGTAACCTTAACTGCGAAAACCCCTTCTTGAAAGATTTTAATGCATTTATTGTATATAGAAATTTGAAAAATTATTAAATGAAGTTAAGATTTCTATTTTAAATCATCAAATAAAGACAGTTTACAGAACAGAACTACTTTTATTTTCCACCTTGTGTGAACATTTATTTAGTATGGTATAAACGATCTCTCAAAAGAGAAAGAAAAAAAAAATACAGACTAAAAAAAGATGGGCCAATTTTGTAGATGAATCTCAGAAAAAAGCAGTCCCATCGTGAAATAAATACAAATTACGAGATTATATAAAGTTTAATTTTTTAAAATAAAATTTAATGAAAATGTATGAATTAGCCTAAACATCTCAAGTCTCATCAAAACTGCAAACTAGTGTAGACTTATACAAATTCACAACTGCAAGAGACATTTGCAATCGATTCGAAACTATGGAAGATTATATTTCACATAAGGTACTTCCACGTCGTCGCCGTTTGTGTCGTTGCAGCACAGTTCAAACACTAAAGCTCTGATGTGGGGTTCGATATTTTTCCTCGACACCAGCTTAACAACCTCCGACAGACTGAAAAAGAAAAAAAAAAAAAAAAAAAATTAAATTTTAATCATTATCGATAATATAAATTGACAAGGTTATATACAGTGATTTTGGAGGATGTACAGCCATTTACAGAACTTATTTGATAGGTATTTTTTTTTTCAAATTTTAATTAGCAGAGGTTATATACCGTTCAGCGAAATATTTTAAGTATTGGAATAAGACCTTTTTGCTCAAAATAACCTCTTAAATAAGTTCCGTAAGAGGTTGTACTCCTCCCGAATCTAATCATCCTGTATATAATAATATAAAACATTGTTTTTTAAGCAGAATTTAAAATTTGCCTTTCTTAGGAAAATTTTTCAAATTAGTTTTGGTTTCTTGATATATGACAACACTAAACACGGGCAATTCCTCCCCGGGGAGGTCTTATTATAGAAAATTGGCCCCTATTTAGGTGTTACAAATTCCATGTGGCCAGCCCATTGACCATTGAACCAACTACCGGCATTCAGTGGTTTTATGAACTTGGCCACCGATGGCGCGAGTAATTTTCATACAACATATCTGAGAGTACAAACTTTTTAACTTTCACACTTACTTCAAATCGAGTCGCTCCTCCTTTTTTGCATTTTGCATAAAAAATGAATACAACATACTAACACCTTGAGACAACATTGTTATTTCTAAGTTATAATTATCCTAAAGGAAAAAAAATAAATAATAAATTTTTTTATTGTCATTTCGCTTGTAAAATGTTCATATTTTATCAAAATAAATATTTACTTCAAAATACTGCAAGAACCTCCGTAATGTCATTTCTCCCTGCACTTCAAATCGATCCCAAAGAGTGAATTCCGTGTTATGATACTGAAAATTCAAAATAAATTAAAAAAACACACACACAATAATATACGTACGTAAATATAAAAAGATAAAATTCCCATACACTCAGTTTAGGAGCGGCAATTGGCTCAGAAAAGGCAAAAAACGGTAAAGCCAAGTTAACAAAGCCATTCTTATAGGAACTTAATTTTTTATGCTGTTGAACAAGCTGAAAAGAAAGAACAATTCAGTTTATCATCACCACCGTCGACATTGTTTTTATTTCAGAACGCTTACTTTGTATAATTCCAAACAAGCTAATCCTGAAACCAAAGCTGTTGTTGTAGCAATGGCAGGAATTATTTTTCCAGCTATTAATTTACTCCTATGACGATCTGCAGGTGGAATATCGTAATTCTCTGCTCTCAAATTAGATGCCGCTACAATAAAATCCATGTGAAAGTTAGAATCATCATCCTTTTCAAAATCAATTGGATTAATTGAAACTCTTCCCATATCTTGTTTTGTAGGTAACTGCTCTTGAATCTGATTAAGGCGATCGTTATCTGTTATCAAAAAACGTGAGATTTAGATTAACGTTTCAAAAATGTCTTAAGTAAAATAAGATATATACCCGTCACAGAATTCTCTTGATTAGCTTCATTTTCGGAGACAGCAATTCTCACACCGGATCTGGGGGAAAATTCAGGCACCTTTACAGTAGTAACGTAATTTGAAATGTATTCTCTATCTGTATTTTGCGGTATTCCAAACATAAAAGCTCTTAAATTTGCAGCTGCTACAATAAAATCTAAATGAAGATCCTGAAATAAAAACATTAAAATTAGTAAATGATAACTCTTCAACATCTAACTACCAGAGGTGCAGGATGTGTCGATCGCACAAACGTTTGGGAGAAACAGTAAATTATGTGCGCTATCCTGTGAAGATGTGCTTAAAGGGTTTTTCTAATCTCAAAAAATTTACATTAATTTATCAGTTTAGTGTTAGTGTTATGCATAATTATATGGTAGACTATTTATTTGTACGATATATTTAAAATACTTTATTTTCTATGGTAATGTGCAACAAATTTCAGGAAAATTTTGCATGTAAAATTTATATTCTGGGGAAATTTTGGGTCGCAAAAATATTCTGCATAGTTACTATTATTCAAAATGTTCATAAATAGTTAAAATAATCTATAATTTAGGATATATAGAATTAAAATTTAAGATATTGTATTTACATTAAAAACTTACATTATTAACATTAAAAACGAGAGGATGAGGACATCTTTTGGGTCCCGACCAGAAAGGAGCACCAGAATTTGTCAGCTGTAATATATTTTTTGGATTAGACTTTATCTTAATCATTTCAAATTTACTCAATATAAAACTAGTTTTAATCATACAAAATATACTATATTAATACCAACAATTTATTAATAAAATTAAGATTATTATTTGCAAAAGTACAAGATAGTTTTTCTATATTACATTTAACCCTTTTTCAGAGTAAGTTATAGAGCAATAATATTTCAACGAGCAGTATTAACATTAGCACAAGATGGTGGTCTAATGACACAATTAAGACACCATCTTGTACTAAAGTTAATTAATTATAATCAATTAATACAATTATGAAATTTTATTAATAATTAGCAAAATTACAGTCCAAGAGTAATGCGCTTTTCATTGAAGTGTTTTAAAAGTATAATTCATATCGAGGAAAGAAAAATTTAATTGGCAACTTCTATACAGGAAGCTCTGTTCATACTTTCCTCAATGAATGTTTCTTGCAATTAGACATTAAATATTTCCTGCACTGTACTTTCTCCATAACGAAAACACTTCAGTTAAACGTCTTGTTTATAAGATCTCACTTTTGCGACTCATTTTTTTGTAATCTACAGCAATTTCTTACTGTTATTCTCTTTGAAGTTGAAAAATTTAAAGCAATTAATAAAAATGAAAAACAAGTTAAGTAATTGCTCCAGGTTAGTCCACACTGACAACAAATTACCAGCGAATGAAAAAAGCAGAGCAAATATGTAACACGATACTGCTCCCCGACAAAATTTCAACAAGAGAAAATTGATTTCATACACTGGTATAATTAATCAAGTATATTCAGGCCTTGACTTGTTATATTCCAGTCTAGGAAAACTTTATTAGAAAATTTTTGTAGATTTCAATGAACTGTCTGTGGTACAAATTATACAAAATTCAGTGCACTGATTGACTAGCGATTGTAATCATCAGCAAAGTTATAACCTTTCATCTCCTGTACAGTTTGCTGGCCTTAAAATAAGTGTTTGGTACAATTAAATAAAACTAACTGTTTCAACTTTGTGTTCTCCTTTTAGAGATGACAAATGCCAATACATTATGCTGTGCTAGGTAAAACCAGTTAACCCATGCATGATTTTTCTAAAAACTTTTGCAAAGACATTAGTGCACGAGTTTGATATTAGAAGTATACTAAGAACAAAGAATAGTGTTTGTGTTTCAAGTCAACCAAGGGTAAAAATAGCTTGGAAAGACTGGAGTCATATTGTGTTAATCATAAAGGATGGTTTTATACATTTTACACAAAGATGTAGAACTGTGTCTAGGAGATTGAAAAACTGTCCAATAAGCTAGCATATTTGATAAACTATCACTGCTGGGCTAATGGAATGTCACTAATTGTATTCTGTTATTTTCAATCTATATATATAGATTGAAAATAACAGAATACAATTATATATATAAACAGAATAATATATATATAAATGGACATGTGTGTCCCTATATTTCACGTTTTAGCCAAAACTATACATCGCACATGAATGGTGTTTGTATGTGGTAATAGCCCCAAGTCTCCATTCGTGCACTATGATGGTTGCGTCTCAATAGCTATAAGGGTGCGGGAGATATGGGGGCTTAAAGTGGTTGACTTCGAAGATTTTCTATTTTGATTTTAAAAATGTTAAAACCGTTTTAAATTCGAATTGTTTCGATTATAGAACGATTGTAAACGTTCCAGAAAATTGATCAAATTGAAATTAGTTCGTTTGACTGGACATAAAAATTCTCTAATTAGTCTAGAAACAGGGGACCTAATTCTTGCATTCTGCGCTATAAGGGTGTGGGAGATATGGGGTTGAAAGTGGTTGACTTCGAAGATGTGTAACAATGGAAGTGTCAATAATGGAAGTGTTAACAGTGGAAGTGTCAAGTAACAAAGGAAGTGTTAATATAAAGCGGCATGCAAGATTTACAGGCAGTTTTTTGCGGGAAATCGAACATATTTTTAGACTCATGTAAAAATTCTCTAATTAGTCTGGAAACAGAGGACCTAATTCTTGCATTCTGTGAAAACGGGTAAGATTGGNCAAACACAGTATAGAATTTTTTAAAATAAACTCCAAACTTTTATGTGAAAGACATACTCCAGAATATGATATTTTCATTAGAGGGCTCCTAAACTCAAATTAGCGCTGTAATTTTCTTCATAAGCAAAATGTTAGGCATCGTCCGCCGAATCACTATACATAACTTTATTTCTCCCAAACATATTTCTGTAGCTAAAATTAGTTTTAACTAATGTTAAAAGTTAAAACTAGTTTTATCTAAAGTCAAAACATGTACAGCAGTAAATTAACTAGACAAAATCGGTTTTGTCTAGTTAAAACTAGAATTTACTGCTAGTCAAAAATGAATGAGTTAAAACTAGTTTTAACTAGACAAAACGGGTTTTAACAAAGACATTCAGTATAAACTAGTTTCAACTAGTTAAAACGCGTTCTAACTAAAAACGGGTTTTGACTGTAACATATATAAAAACTATATTACATACAAATAAAAACCCAGCAAAGCAGTCCTTGCAGCTAGTTTAAAATAAAAACATTTTAATGAGAAATGCTAAGATGATATTGCAATTTTAAAATATTGGAAATTTGTCCTGGATGACACAAAAATTTGAAAAGCATGGATACACAAGGGTTTACATTATAGTATAGTATTTTCTAGAACAACAACGAAGCCCAGGGCTCTGGAGCTTGTGTTTTTTGTCGGAATCATGTCATTTAGATCCCACTCCAGATTTTAACATTTAAGCCTAAAAATACAAATTTCTTCAGCTATTCACTAGAACATAGATGTGATTTTTACATTTACAAAATGTTTTGAATATTTGCTAATCTAAAAATTCTCTTACTTATATTTCTGAAATACAGTGGGTGATCAGTTAACGAACATAACCTGTTTCAAGACTGTTCGTTAACCAATTATCGATTTACGATAGGCTTTTATGGGAATTTGATTAATTCATTCTGGAGACCCCAAAAAATAAAAAAATATATACTTTCTTACTACGTTTATTTATATGTACTAATAAAAATACATATATGCACAGTCTTGCATTTTTTATTCATCAATCAAAATGTACGACTGTGTATATAAGTGTTTTTATTATGTTTTTTCTGTTCGTAGGGGTTAAAGAAACTGTCCAACGTCGATTGCTTTTCTCTCTTCTTTGGGATTTTTCAGAAGTAATTAATAGCATTGTAATTGTAGAGATTCCCAAGCCTATTAATCTCAACTTGGTTTGGATGCCATTCTAAGACCATTGTTCTGACATCCTCCCACTTCTTCAAAAGATCTTTAATAGCAGATGTTAACATTGATCATTTTTCATCTTCCTCTTTCTCAGAAAAAAACACATCTTGTTGAGTTTCTTGGTGGTGTTCATTTAAGCATTCTTGGAGTTCCTCTGCATCAGATCAGTTTCAGATTCCATTATGAGCTCTTCAATGTCATCTTTATTCACTTCCAATTCCAGATCTCTAGCAGTTGTCTCAATTTCATGCATAATTTCAGGGACATCATCTCTCTCTCCCTGAATGCAGGAGGGACACATCTTTCGCCAAGCAGAATTCAACTGTTGTCGAGTGACTTCTGACCATCCCTTTTGAATGAGCCACATAGCTTCAAGAATATAAAATTTTTCTTTCCAAAACGTTTTTAATGTCACCATTGAGGAGAACTGGCATGCTTCAAAACACAGACGAAGCAGTGCTCGAATGTACAATTTCTTGAAACCTGCAATAACCTCTTGATCCATTGGTTGAATCAATGAAGTATTCGGAGATAGAAACTGAACTGTCAGCCAGGAAAAGTCTTCCAGCAAATTATCTTCAAGGTCTTTTGGGTGTCCTAGTGCATTGTCCAATAGCAACAGTGCTTTTAATGGCAATTCATTGGTCTGAAGGTAATCCTTGATGCTTGGAGCAAAAACTTCAAACAGCCATTCTTTGAAAAGAGCCTGAGTGACCCATGCCCTTTTATTCAATCTCCACATCACTGGCAGTTTTCTTTAATTATGGAATTTTTTTTTGAATGCTCTAGGGTTCTCAGAGTGATAGACAAGAAGCGGGATAAGCTTCATATCACTGCTAGCATTGGCTCCCAAAAGTAATGTCAATTGATATTTCATGGGTTTATACCCAGGAATATTTTTAAAATCTGCTTTCGTAATGTATGTATGGTTCGGCATGAGCTTCCAAAATAACCAGTTTCATCGCTATTGAAAATTTGTTGTGGACAATATCCTTCTTTTTTAATAAATTCTTCAAATTTGAGACAGAACTTCTCAGCTTCTTTATCTGCACTAGCAGTCTCACCGTGAATTACATGTTTAATGCCAGTTCTCTTTCTAAACTTAGAATTCAAAGCTACTACTAGATGGTTTTCAATCTCCTCATGTGACGAATGTGGAGTTTGTTTCTTCAGTTCTTCAAAAATTTCTCTAGCTTTCTCTTGAATGATAGTCATACTAGTTACATCTTTTTTCATTTCCCTTTATTTTATCCAAATTAAAAGCAATCTCTGCATTTTTTCATGGATGGAACATTTTCGTTACTCCTTTAGCTCTTCGAGTCTTCTTGATTATATCTTTCTTAGCTAAGATTGTGCCTACTGTAGATCTGTTCAAGCCATACTGCCTAGCAACAAAAGACATCTGCCCACTCTCTACTTTGGCTATTATCTCTTGCTTGGTTTCTATGGTGAGCACAATTTTTGATACTCCACTCTTTTTATGCTCCATAATATTATCAATTTCTGTTTGAAATGAAAAGTTCAGAAAAGCACTCACAAAAATTCAGAGAACAGAAATCAACTAGCACACGAAAGAATTATGTAAATGTGAGGCCCGAATGTAATTCAAAATTTTGATGTTAAAACGTTAAGGAATACCCGATAGGACAGTTAAACTCTCACCTTTAGAAACTAAAAACCGACGCAAAACTTATGGAGTGCCCGACAGTCTCGCGAAGACTATAAAAAGATTTTTGACAGAAAAGTAAACAAAAAGCTGGAATTACAATGGAGAGTTTCAAAGTTTGGGGAAACACTATCTGACCAGTATTGGGTTGAGCGTTGATGTTGATGTCTCCTGCACTCCGAGAGATTTCGAATTGTTACCCGAAGACAAAGGAAAATCAATCCATATTTGTTATTTTCTGTCGCTTCTTTTTATGTTCGTTCAGTGAAGTGTTCGTTGTCCGATTATAAAAATCTTTCGCAAAAGTGTTCGTTATCCAATTTGTTCATTAACTGGTCACCCACTGTACTGTCAAGGATATACTCCCAACATAAATTAACTTATTTTTTTAGAATTAAATAAAGAATATCAATTTTAACCACCACCATAATATGTATAATATTTTAGTAACTTCTAAATAATAATTAAAACCTTATGTTAATTTGTTTACATGTTAAACACTATTATAACTGAAAAATATGAAAATTGACCTCTCTGTACTCAAATACAACTATTGTAATTCTAATCAACAAAGCTAATTTACTATAACAATCTGCAAAAAAAAAAATTGTTGTATTAAATTAAGCTAAAGTTAAATAGATATTAGAAACTTAACTGTAGCTTTCTACACTTGTGTATTTATAAAACAGTTCACTTTGAAAAAAGTATCTTATTTTAAGAATGATATGGCAGACACTGGTTTAATTTTAAGATTTCTTCAAATTCCAATTTGAAATCAAAAATACCCCCTTCAAACTTAAATTGCAGAACCAAGTAATGAACACATCTGACTGAAAATTTTTCAGTACAGAAGTATATTGGCAATAAAATACAAGCTTCAAATTAAAAGATTTCAAATACAGGAAATAAGAACGAATAAAAAAAACTGTTTTCAAAACAACAATTAGGAAAAACTTACCTGTTCTGGTGGAAAATTGTATAAAAGTTGCTTTATTTGATTGTGGTACTGTTCTTGGAAATATAAACGTGCCCATCTAATGCAGTCTTCAAAGTTATTAGCTCTTTCATCCACCAAAATCCTCTTCACCGATTCCAGTATTTCCAACTAAAAATAATAGTAATTGGCATTTCAAATTCAAAATTAGTAAAAAGATGGAAATTTGTTCAGCTAATCTTCATAGCACAGTAGAAACTTAAAATATTTTTTTACCATTTCCTTGAAAAACACATTAAACTCCAGAATATGTAGAATCCATTCCTAAAAAAAATCATGTCAAAACATACAAGTACATGTGTACATACAGAATGGATAAATTGAATGCAAACACACCACCAGTATAAAAGCTTCTGTAAAATTTTATTTCATCAATACAATGGACAATGTTCAATACCTCTAGATATGTTTTACACAAATGATTGAGTTGTCTTTTGAAAGTAATCAAGAATACTTGTTTACTGTTGAGAATTTGATTTCATCACTGCAGTTTCTAAGTTTGAAACAAACATTTTTGCGCATTAGAAGTACCTCTTTTTGTGTTCTACACTTGTCGCCATAAACGTCTGGGTTTGTACCTGCATAGGAACACCACATCTAGACTGCAGAATCTATAGTGAACTTTGAAATTGTCATAGCAAGTAGAGTAAAGCAATATGAAGTCAATTTTCGGAGTCTGGCAATGATTGCCAAGGTACCAAATCTATAGAATATGGTGTCCTCTCAATATCAGTATGACAAGATTTAATCAATTCAATGAATTGTTATCTCTTCTCACCATCTAAACATTAAACACAGTACATTTCTTTTTCAAAAATTATTATTTGAGTTGAAAATTCATCCAAGGTATGGGTTTGATGTGTTAAAACTAAAAAATACAAAGTCAAAAGACACTAAATCCCATTAACATTAAAGATGTGAGGGGATCAATAGAAAAAAAACACATTGAAACTAGAAATTTGATTTAAAGAATTTATGAAATTACACTATTTTATATTAAGAGAATCTTTCCAATCTCATTTTTACACTGTGCTAGCTACCTTTCATATGCTTTTCATGTATGTTTATCTAATAATTTTCCAAAGTTAATAAACAAACAATTGATAATTTCATTTAAGTAATAAAAAGTTTAATTTTCTTATCAAGTGTAATTCAAGGTAAAAAAATTAATAGACTAAAGCATATTCTGAAAATATTAAAACTTCTTTTGATGACAGAATGAAATGCAGTTTATGTGGTAAGTATTGTCAGTATGTTTTTTTATATTGAAAGAGGAAAAATTAGAAAAGCCAACTTTTTCCCCAGTTTAAAAAAAACTTTTTTCTTGCCACTTCAAACTATTACCACCAGTTTTACATACTTAATTCAGGTGCTGGTAGCCTTAGTTTAGAGCCTGAAAAGCAAAAGTGACACGTTAAGCTGTCGCTTAAAAAAAAGGAATCATTTTTCAGTAACTTTTTAATGAATAATTCCAAACAACACATCTGATCACAATACTTAAATACAGTATCTCACAGATTCTGTCATGTCCAAAATTTATGCTTGTCTACTGGAAAAAAGATCAATGAAAAAAGTGTCATTCCAAAAAATTCTCAAAATTTTCTGTCAGTTGACAAATAAACCCTCCAATCTGGAAATGCTGGATGGCCACTGCAAGAAAATTATCTTTCGTTCTCAATGTCACTTCCTACTTTCTTTGTTCAAAGTTGCCATATGACGTTATGACATCGTTAGATGAGTGTTGCACGAGACTCGTCACACAGGAGCGCAACATTTTGCTGTTTTTCCTCGCGTGTTTTGTGATTCAATTTCATACTAAATGTTGAAATAAATATAGTGATAAAATCTAGTCTGCTTATTATATTTTTATTGCCACACTAATATAAACATCACATGGTGATTTTGGCACTATGCAGTGCAACTTGTAGTGTTGACATACAAAAGAACAAACAGACATGAAAATGATAATAAAAATGACTTCTGATGTGTGGGTATTTAAATTCCCAAGTGTTTTGATCAGGTCCTTCCACATTGTTAGAACTGAAAAATGCTATTCACTGAGGTAAAATCTATCCAGACACGCTACACTCTGCAGATGTGGTCATTGTTACTCGACTAAATTGTGTTATATCCTGCGACAGAGGTTGTGTTGAACACTTGTCTAATAAATACATTTAAAGTCATTTTCATTCTCATTCACATTTCTTTTGTATCTCAAATGCTGCCTATTAGTAATTTTTGAAACATTTTTCTCCAACAAAATCCCTGTATTGACAATACTTACCATGCAAATTGCATTTCATTCTGATTAAATATTCATAAAAAGAAAGAAAAACAATACTCACTGGCTGATTCCCAGGTAGTCTAATTGTTCTGTCAATAAACTGTTGATCACTGAAAAAAATTTTTTTACCATCTTTAAACCTCATTCTCAACTTTATGGTCATATTTCAAAATAATAAATTACAGAAACAAAATATAATTTCAATTATAGTAAACTCTACAAAATAAATTTTATAGTTGAAAAATTTTGTTTGTTTACAGTGAAATCGCATTACAACAAACTTAAGATTTTCTCTGGGCTAACTTCCATAGGAACCCATGACTGTCAGTTGTACAAACATTTATAGTTAACTTTAATTTTTCTCATCCCATTAGCTTAAATGGTAAAATTCCTGCAATTTTCACTTCACTATTGTCTTCAATTGGTAAACAACTGTATCCAGGGAAAATGTAACTAGATTCAGATACACTAACCTCAAGAAGAATCAAAGTTGTAGATATAGATACAAGGAGAGGCATTTATGCCATTTTTGTTTTATCATCTATCTTAAGCTACTTTATGTGTAACAGTGTATACAAATTTTAGGTAAATTTTTTATTCTCTAGCAAGACTAGTCTGTAACTGCATGTACTATTGGAGTTTGCTCTCACTAAATAACTCTGAAGAGACTCATTGTTCATTTTCACTGGAGAGTATTTTGGTACAGAGAATTGTCTAAAGAAGAGCTTCCCAATTAATCTAGTAATCCTTTAAGGGTAAATCAATAAACTTTGCAGTTATAAAAAGTTATATGTAAATTTTCAATATTTTTAAATAACATATATAATTTATCACATAAAACTGAAGCTGGTTGTAGTTCATGAGTGAGCCCCCTATGGTATAGGAAACTAAGAATATAGGAAGATTGATTCAGAGGCACAAATAAAAAATTTACAAATTCTAAACTCTCCCCCAAACCATCACCAATATCCTTTGGAATCCTACAATTATTCTACAAATCCTTCAGCCGTCACATCCTGTGAATAGCAACATGCAGAAATCCCCCTCAGAACAATATCTAAAAAAGTATTCGTGTGTCTATTAGCTGTTCAGTGGTGTTCTATTTGCACATGGAATACTATCTACAATAATCACGATTGAGCATTTTATTTTGCTTTATTTACACCTTTCATTTGTTGTTCTGTCTAATTAGTTTGTTGAATTATACCAAGAGATGGAATCAGACGACTCCATAGTTAAATTTGAAACAGAAATAACTATGAAATCATTTAAATGAGTCAACTTTTCAATGCATTAAAAAACAGATTTATTATGTTTTACAATTGAATATAATAACTGCTTTCTATCATCATCATCAGCTTATTCTACCATTTCAAATTATGGTGCTTTCAAATACACTTACATAATTGTCTGCCATTTGTGCCCATGTTTGCTTCTCTCCACCATGTTGTGACTACGACATAAGGAAACAAGCAGGCACATCTTAAGTATGGACATCCTTCGGGTCTCTTGATTCCCCGTGAATATCACATTGATTCTCATGGACCATCCGTTATGAGCCCATTGCCATTTGAGAGATTTAATTCTGTGGATCACATCAGTTACCTGGGTTCTTTGCCTAATACACTATTCTTTTGTGATCTCTCTTGGGTATTGCTAGCATATATTGCTCCATTGACCTTTGGGCAACTTGTAGTTTCACTGTTATTTCTTTATTTAGTGTCCAAGTTCCACATCCGTAAGTCATGACTGGTAGTACGCATTGATCGAATGCTTTTTTCTTCAGGTGGATTGGCATTTTAGATCTGAAGATTTCAGAATTTCATCCAAATGTAGACCATGCTTGTTTGATCCCCTTGTTGATTTCTGGAAACTGGAAGTTATTTTACTTCCAGCTTCCAGAAATCAACAAGGCTTATTTTACTAATCAACTTAGCTTACTTTTACTAAGAAGGTAATATAGAAAGCTGGAAGCTTTCTATATTACCTTCTTATATTATCGTCATTACTTACATGAATACATGCACAGTATATAAAAGCTTGTTTCAACAATTATTGATAAATTAATCTCAAACACTTATAAGAAATGCATATCAATAATAAAATTACATTGTGATGATAGAAGTGTCATTTTGATGTCCACAGTAACTGTGTGGCAGTAATTTTGTTTCAGCACTTCTAGGACCCTTTCGAGTATCATCTATTGTCCACACAAGATTTATGAAACAAGCTACACTACAGTCTTTTATATAAATATTCGAAGAATATGGAATTAATTAAACATGTCCGAGTTTTAATAAAAAATTAAATTCTATATTAAATTGTATATTTAATTGTAAAAAATTTAAACCCAATCTGCTGCTTAAACTGCTATTCAATAAAATACAGCAAGATTAACCACTCTGCAGTGATCGACAGATATACCCGTCAAGGGCGATCACGTAGCACCGGAGAATGACGTCTATATCGCAAAAAAATTCACATAAAAAAAAGGGATTGTGACACAATAAAGATTTTTCTTTACTAGACAACCATTTAAGAATTTTTTTTCCGAAACAGAAACGAGAAAAACACGTAGAAAAATTCTTTAAAAATTTCCCACATTTATTCTCCACTACATCGTGATAGCGCCATATCTGATTAACCCTCTCTACAAAGGTTAAATCACTTTTGTCTTTGTAAGAAGTAATTAAAAAAAACTTACTTTAAATAATGAACTACATTTTCTGGTGCCTGTCTGAATAAGCCTTCAAACTCATCTCTTGCCCACTATAAAAAAAAAAGTTATATATATATAAGAATCTTAAAGATTAAACCTATTTTATGCTATTTAATACAGACCTGTAATGTATGCTCAATAGCATTTGGAAAATTTCTTAAAGTACAAATTGGAATGGACTTTTCTGGAGGATCTTGAGATGATGAGTATGATTCAGTAAGGAAAGGAATGACAACCTAAGAATTTCATAAAGAATTATTTTATATATAAAAACAAGACTGATTCAAAGTAATAAAAACTGAATTAATATACAAAATAATAATCAAAATTAAATCAAATACAATGAATACTTAAAGTCTGCATTAAGAATCTATACATTGCAAAATCATCATTCAATTTTCCACGAGAGCATAAAATAATAACAAACTAAAGTTCAATCTTAAACCAATAAAAAGAACTTTATTCTTTTATAAACACACAAGTTTTAAAATAATGTAAATAAGCAACTCTCTAAAATAATTGTTATATTTAAATATTGATATGACCTATAGTAACAAAATGTACATTATGTTGAAAATAAGTAAATGATTTTAATTCCATCTGTTTTAAAATGTAACAAACTACTAGTAAATCTTGTATTGTCAGCCAAAAATCAATTTTCATTATTTATAATTAAGATACTTTTCAACGAGAAACATGCTCTCTGACTTACTTTTGCAATGTTAATCATGCTTTAAAAGTGTATATAAAAATTTTAAAATTACACTATAAGAAATTAATTTTAAAAATTTATAACCTTTGTTTAATTAAGATATTCAATACTGACCTGTACATTTCCTTTTGTACCCAAGGTACCGGACTCCAGCAGAGGTTTACGATAATAAACACACCGTCTGTCAATGTAAGTTCCTAAAAGTAATTGATATATATATATATTTTTTTATAAATCAATATATTTTTAATGATATTCTAATTCTAGTCATGGCTTTAAGAAAAAAAAAAATTTTAAACAACAAATGTCTTTCTAATGCCTTTAATATTCTGATTCAACTATACAGCCACGCAACAAGAAATGATTAAAAGTAAGTTCATTGCGTGTATTATGAACAGCAAAATAGTTAAACATGATTATTTCTGAACAAGTTTAACTTTTCTAATGTAAATATAATACAAAAGGTTGGAACTATTGCAAGTTAAAGCATTGGTTGCAGGTTGTTCTTTTGCTAGATTCTTTCCACTATCTCAGGAGAAGATTAGTTGTATTAGCATTTTTTACAACTAATCACAGATGTTCTTTATTAACAAAAATAACTTCTTAAACTTTTATTAAATGTAAGAAATAATGCAGGATCTATTTTTAATTTTATATTAAACTGTTTTTTAAAGTGTTATTAAAACCATCTGTAGTAAATAAAATTTGCTGTTTAACTTACTTGCATCAACATTATCCAGTGCATTTGCTACTCCATCTAAAGATTCAAAAAAGGAATCATTGTAGACTTGTTCAGTATCTGGTCCAACTCTATTTTGATGAGGAGTAATATGAATGTCGGGATTCATTTTCAAAATTGCATTTGCAGCAGTTTCAGATTTCATAGCCTAAAGAATTAATTTCATTTAATAATTAACATTTATAATTTTGGCAGTGATACTTAAAATTAAAAAAACAGTAATTTTTAATATAATTTCACAATTTATAACTTATTCAACTAAAGAAAACTTACACCAACATTCCACTGTCTGAATAAAAATTGCCTATTTAAATTTGATCTTTCAATGGTATCCATATCAGTAACATAGATCATTCCATCACCAGAAGCAATTCCCATCATTGCAAAATTTTTTAAATGTTCACACCCTATTGCACCCGATCCAACCTATAATTTAAGATTAAACTTTTAGATCAAAGCAAAAATGTAATAAATTTTTCGTAAAACACACTAAAATTTCACACACACACTTAATAAGTTAATAAACTTTTAATAGTTTTATTTAGTTTAGTTTATTTACTTTTAATAGATACATAAAATTATAAGTTTCAAAAACAAATTATATAAAATCATTAGGTATTTCTCAAAGCTGAACATTTCATTATAGTAATTTATTCCGTTTATTATTATTACAAGTGTCCTTCAAAGTTTATTCCAGAAGTTAAATTATATTATTCCACAATTAAAAAAAAAAAAAGACATGTCAACTATGTAATTCCAGAATTTTAGCTAAGTTTTTTGGATATACATCAGTATTCTTAAGTACTCTAATTTTAATGGCACATTTTTGGTTTTTCTATTGATTGAAACTCATTCTAAAAAGGCAAAAATGACTTATCTAAATTTGTTTAGTGAAGTGATTCCATTAACAGATTTACTTTTTTTTAAATCTTATTCTACATGTTATATCAAATATTTAAAATTACAGTGAAAAAATTGTTTAAATGTTACAATAACTTTCATAAATTCAAATTTAATTTCATAGTTACCTTACACTTGTAAGGATGAAATTTTTCTAATTATAAATTTAATGAATACTCACCACAAAATATTTTAAGGATGAAAGTTTTTCTTGAAATTCTCTTCCAAATACTGCTATTTGTGAATCATATCTACTTCCAAGCTGTAAATAAGTGAAAGGAATTGTTTAACTTTATAAAATGAAGTTTTTGAAAAATTGATTTAAAGTAAACTCAAAAAAATTGATAGTTTTATACATTTCAATTTATCAAAATTGAAATGTTTTTATAAGAAAAAAATATTTGTGAAAATTCTTTTAACATCAATTTTGAAACGATATTTTGTTTTTTATAGTAAGAAGTATATTTTGATAGTTATTGACAATTAACGAATAATCATTGCAATTTAGTGAATATTGGAACAGACAACTGGATTATTTTATATTAGTGAGAAGAGAAAGATCTTAAACCTTCTTTGTTTAATAATTTTTTCAAAACAGTTTTATACCTTTTTTTAGAAAATTGCCAGGACAAATTTACTTTTACAAAAAATATTTTTCTCGGTAGACCAAGAAATATATTTTTTTTTTTGTAAAAGTTATATACCTCAAGTATTATTATTTTAATAACAATTTGCCATTAATTATCCTCATAATTCAAATGGATCAATAAAATAAATATATGACTGTTTTTAAAACTGAAAAAAAAAAAAATAAAACAAGGTCTTAAAATCTTAAATTTCAGGACTGAATTCATTAAATTACAAAGTTCATTAATCTAGTACCCAATAATATAGAACTGTAGGATGATAATCTGGTATGCTAGTATTCTGCAAACCAGAACGTTTTAACATGGGTTCTGTAATATGCATGACTGATGTATTTTTATTTTCCACAGGTTAATGTGAGAACAGCATACCTAAACAGCTCTCTCATACTCTGAGCATGTTAAAATAACATGCCAAATAACAAAAAGCTACACAAGATTCAAATCTGAAAAATTACTGTATCCACATTTATGTACAAATTGTATTCATTAACGTTTTTGAAAGTTTTCCAATCAATCAATCTTAATACAGAATAGTTATGCACTAATCATCTATTATGTATATCAAATCAAGTATATATTAGACTGCTGGTATAGTACAAAATACAGTAAAACCTGTCTATGGCGACCCATGGTTCCTTCAAAAAGTGGTCTTTTAGACAGGTGGTGCTGTAATATCGTATTTCCGCACGTATTTTGCACACAGATATGGCTAAAAGCCATATATACTAAGCAAAACTTGAGGTGAGCAAAAATAAGCAAATTTTTTCAACAATAGAACTATATTGGTACTGTATTTTATTCTTATCCGATAACTCGATTAACAGAAGTCGTCATGATTTTATAAGACAGATTTAATACCAGTATTTTAAAGATTAATACAGTATTCGCATCTTCTCAATTATAATGCACATTTTCTTTTATCCCGAGATAATTAATTCAAGTTGGTTCTCTTCACTTGCTCCTCAGTTACGTGTATTACGTCATCAATATAAAAGCGTGTGGTATCGCACCACCACTTCGGTTTTGGTTAGTTTAATCTTATTTTAACTTTAAAAATACTGTATTTTTAAATATTTAATATTTTCTTAAGTACAATAAAAATTATTAATTAATAAGAATATGATTCTATTATTTCTTCTCATAATACAATTTCATTACATCAATGATAATTGTGAAATCAAAAAAGGAAGGTTGCCTGAAACTGATTTTGTGTTAATGCATTTATTGTTTGTGTGCGAAAATTACTTGAATACTGTTTTTCTAAAAATATCGCAGAACTAAGGGAGGTTGATACAGAAACTATTTATTACACATGTACTATATAATGAGCTTCAAAAATATAAAATAAATTTTATCAAACGATGAAATCAGCCAATTAATTGTATCATGTACAATATTTTATACCCTTAAGTAGGTCTACAGTAAAGTAAATTTCATTTTCCCACAGTTAAACTTCACAGCTAATTGCCATTGGGATAAACCATTTTCACTTTCTCTGATAACTTTAACCTCATCTTTTAAGGACAGCACTTTACATTTCTTTAGTTTTTCAGACAATTTTGAACAAATTGAAATGAATTTCCTTTGTTGCTAGACTAATTCATTAACACCTGTACCTAATTTTAAGGGTGGGAGAAGTGCTCGAGGTGGGTTCGAACAAGAGTTTAGATGCGGAAGTGGTCGCTTATTACAGTTGTTGTATGTTGTTTCGGACCAAAAATAGATGCCTGCGGTTACGTTACACAGGTGATCGTTTAATAGTAACTTATACGAAGACTATGTATAAACCATTCCGTGCCAGAAATTTTTGCCCATTTTGACAAGTGCCCGTCAAATGCAGGTGGTTGCCTAAGCAGTTTTTACTGTATATAACTTTTCTTGGATATACTACAAAATTATTAAAATAATGCCAATCCAATAATCTAGGAATTTTGCTAATCTAGAATAATTCTGGTCCCCAGATTATTGAACTTCCACTGTAGATGCCTTCAAACACTTTTTGGATGAGATCCTTTACAAATGATACCAAGAACTAGTGCCCTACTCTGCCATCAAATTCCAATCATATTACAATAATATAGTGAAGTTATTCTGTTATATGACTTCAAGGAACCTTAATACTTGAATCATTAGCATTAACCTCTTACCAACACTTAAACCAACTTGTTCTCAAATACTTGGTATAGCTAGGTACCAAAAAGGGGTTCTTTGAGATGCCCAAACCTCAAGTATAACACATTTCCAAGCCAAGATGTGATCTATCTGTACTAGTTAGTAACTACTCATAGTCCACACAAGACAAATTGATGGCATGTTACCTTACTCTTCTTGTTTTCAATAAATTACATTCATTGCTTAGTCAAAAACTGTTCTTGGAAACACATTCAATTCTTAATTTCTGGCCCAGATTAATTTCAACAAAGACTAATTTAATCTTGTGTTTTTGTATCTTTCCTCATCACAAGACACTTTTGGAAAACAGTGAAGAGAAACAAGTAATTTTCTGTGGTGACTATTATACTTGAAATACTTGTACTTATTTTTCTGAAAATGAACTCCTAATTCCTGCTTTTTGTATCCAAAAATGACTTCAGTTTCTTCATTAGACAAGTATCAGCCTCTAATAAACATAGGAATTTGGAATGAGGAGATTTTCTAATATAGAAAATCACCTCACTCATATCCCTGTTTAGGCTGATTTCTATTTTATTCAGGTTCCATTTTAGATAGGTTTTACAATATTTTATGAAATATTTTCAAAGTAGCAAATCAGTTAAGTTCATTGCAAAAAAGATTTTTCAATAATTCCCAAAACTAATTTTTTCACTTAAAATATACATTAATATATAATATGCAAATATAAATAAATGCATCTCTCAAATTTTGTAAGTTAATATTTGCCATATAACTTTTGAAAAATTATAATTATCCATTTAATAAAAAATGATTCAATATGTTTATATGAATAACTTAAGGATTATATCGACACTATTAAGATTTACTTTGAAAAAACTTACAGGAGTAGCAGATTCTTCATTCACTTTTTGTTCAGGAGGAAGACATTCTAATGCATCAAAATAAAACCACTGTTTAATTGGTCCAAATTTTCCACTGCAAGCCTGTAATTCAAAAATAGTATTCATAAAATTCTAATATTTTATAAATATTCTTACAAGGTAAATATAAATTTATATATTTAACATTTAATTTTAGAATTCATATGCATTTCAATAAAACACTGAATTTTATTTATTTATTTTTTTACATTAGAGTCATACATTATTGGCTGACGTAGAACTTAAAGGCAAAAAACACAGAAAACTCCCAACTTATATTCAGGCAAACACAGTATTTCTCAATGTTCGAAGAACTTCTGTAAATTAAAAAAAGAAAACGTACTTTCATTATTTCTTGTGCTGCAATTCCACCAATTATTGCCTGCATGGGGCATAAGTTTCCAGCAGCTACATATGAAAAGGTTCGCACTAAATCTTCATCAATCTCTTCCACTTGCTGAGCCTGTTTGTTTACTTTGTGACTCAAAGACACCATTTCATCTGCATCTTCCTAAAAAGCAAAGTAAATTATATTAATTCATAACAAATATTCAAAAATCAGTGAGCATTCACAAACTAACCTGATTCCATGGTCTAGGTAATCTATTGAACTGATTTTGAAATAAATCTAAAGCTTGAAAAATAATATGCAATTGAGGTGGTCGTTCCATTTTTGCAAAGTCGGACATTATATATTCAGGTGATTTTAAAGATTCTTCAAGAGGTTTCTGTAATTTTAATTAAAAGTTTATTAAGATTATGAATCATCATCATCAATTATTGAACAGAGTTTAGTTTAAATTTAATTCAGCCTTTACTAAATTTCAGTATGTACTTTGACAATTACAGAATTTTTAAATTGTAACATTAAACTTGCTTTTGTAAAATGTTTAAGAAAAGCAAATGATAATGATTTTTAATTTTAAAAAAGGATTTTATTAATGTATAGACTAAAAAGATAAACAGTTTATACCACTTACTTAATGTAGGAAATTTAAAAAAAAAAGCTTTTGATCAATTCTAAACCCTTTTATTTAGACTTTCAAGGTAAGTTGTTCTGGTTCATTAGAAACTTTCTATTTAGCTTTCTCCATCATATAAAAAAATTACTTTATGTATGATCAAGTTAATGGTTTTTTCCTTTCAAATTTAAAAGTTTAATCGCACACAACGATTTGATCAGTTGTTTTTAAAAATTTTAAATTGAACTACATGAAACCACTATAATAAAGCACCTGTCAATATCCTTTTGTTGCAGTACTTCACAAAATTTACATTACACATCTTGTTCATTAAAAGGATTACTGTAAATTTCCAATCATAATACAAAGGGTCAAATATTTAAAATAATCTCATTCAAATTACTAATATAAAAACTGTTGTGCGTGCAAATTACTTATAACACCTGCAATTTTCTTTATATTTGTTTTATGTTCTGATGGAAAGTATATGCTACTTATTTTGCTAAAATATTTATAGAATAAATGTTATATCGATTTGGGATCAGTGATTGCACTTGTGTTGCAGTGACCACGCGACGTTTGTGTTTGACAAGGAAATTCCCCAAGTTGCATTAAATATTTTGGCAAATGTTACATTTTAAACATACTTCATTAAATTTAAAATTTAAAGAAAGATAACCTAATTGCATCACTTGTATAACAAATTTAAAAAAAATATCTTTGTATAGTGACCACATAACATTCTATTATCAATCAAAAGTAACAATCTAATGAGCTCATTTAGTTAGATGAGCGATAAATTGTATATACGTTAGAAAGTGTTATCTTTGTTTTATCAATGTGGAATTAAGAAGTGGCTTTTTATCAAGAGCTGCAAAAACATGATCACATCAATCATCAAAACAATGTTAAAGCGTATTACTAAAGAAAGATAGCAAGGAACTCTTAAAAGACAATAGTGTGTTTACTAAGAATTTAGTGTATACAGAAATTTTGTAAAGAAAGATTTTATTATTTTTTAATATAAAGGCCTAAAACTGTGTATGTATGTGTGTAAATGAATTCTCTATAATGCCTACTTTTTTGGTCCACTTCATGTAAAATTTTGTTTTGTTGCTCTTTAGGTTACAACAGATATTTCTACAAACTAAACAGTTTATACTAACAATGCTTGAATTTCTTGAAATCTCTACTCTTCTCAAAAACTATTCTGTCATGCTTGACAGGGAAATTTCTAGTTTATTGAATATTGACACATTCATTCCAAATGACAGTCTGATCAAAACAATTAACCACTTTAATAGAAATCTTCCTCTATTAAATTTTTGCAAGTAATCAGATACACTTTTGCTTTCTCAAATAATTAGATCAGTAATATCAAGAGAATGTATTCAGACTGAGAAACATTTTAAAAATACATATCTTCAGTTTTCAAACAAGTGAAAAGACAATCAGCATTTTATCAATTACAATAAAAATTTTAATAGTAAATTTTGTTCCAGTGTCAAAAATCATCTTCAGATGATGAAAATCCTCTCACACATACTACACCTACCTACAAAGTGTGATTCTGTTGTAAAAAAAGATTTATTGCACAAATTCAAAATAAATTTACCACATTAAAATCAACATCTTTCCTTATACTTTGAATTTTAATTTACAAAAATCATGTGTTTCTGAAGAAACATTATTGCTACAAACATGTTTATTGCAAATTTATGTGAAATCTTCAATCACGATTTTACATATTTTTGTTTACAAAAAAAAAAAAAAAGGAGCTGGTGAAATTTTAACCAATTGAATTTTGTCATTAAGTTTAATTTCAATAATCCCAAGTAATGCTCTCTGAAAAACAAATTTATATATTATTGCTATTGATTGATAAACAAACAACTTACAAATGAGATCGTCTTTGGCATTTTAACTTGAGTAACAATTCCTCCTCTAATATACTCTCTGAAATCTGAAGTTTCACCTATACTGAATGTATACGGACCTATAAAAAAATTTAATACAAAATTAATAAAATTTCAGCAATTAAGTGTCCATTTTCTGATGACAAGTTCTTAAAAATTTAAATATTTGAAGAATTTAATGATGCTACACTGTCAACTATTTAACTGTAACAACCCATGATTCGTACACACATTTTCTTCACCGAGAATTTCAAGTTTTTGTATACATAAAATTGATTAGAATCATAATTATCACTTCTTACAAATTTAGAGTCCTTTATATACAAGTGGACTAGTGGGCATTTAATAGTGTCATCTCCACAGAAATATTTAATGCTTTTGCATATATGGACAGACAAGACACCTACAAGATAAACTACACTAAGAATTCTCTTCACTCTTCAGAAAATATTAACGTGTCATGTTTTGTCTGTTTTTTGGAAATTTACCAAATAGATGAGATTAACATTGCTATTATACCACATTTGTTCATTTTAGGATATTTTTGTAACAAGAAAATTAATTATGATTCACATTTTATGCCAATTTGATAAAGATTAAATTAAAATTCTGAAATAATAAAACAAAAGATAAGCCATTGTAATTGTGCAATCAACATACAAGAGAAAAAAAATTTATTGAGCTGACTAAAAAAAAAAATCAATATTGATCTATTATTATTGTATTATATTAGTTTTGTACATTGTACATTTAGTCAGAGTTAGCATATACTTTTAATAATCGTGGCATCCTTTATCATCACAAGACTTTCATGTTACTCTTGTAACTGACAAATCATCACAAATGTTATTCATTCCCATAATTTTCATTTTATAATATCTAAAAACCAAAACGATCAAAGACACCAAATAAATACAAAAAAAAAACTATATAATCTGATTTCATTAAAAACTGACGCCAATTGTGCCGTTAAAATGTAACCAGACTAATCTGGTCTATAGATCAAGTTATTATTGTTAAAGAATGTCATATTAAAATCATAATTCCTTGCAAATAAGATTAACAAAACTTCTGTACATTTTAATGTTTATATCTGAAGTGTAGTCACACTTACCTAAAACTTTAATTTTTCTTGGTTCGCAGTTATTTAATTCTACCATTCCTCGAATTTCAGAAAATGTAACATAATCGCCATCTTCAAACCCATGTCTTGTTTCTTCTAAACAGGTAACTACTCCTTCACTATCCTAATTTTAAAGAATTTGTTTAATATACAGTAAGTATATTAGTTCATCATTTCCAAAAAAAAAAAAAATCCTTACTCTGCTGATTGATGCTACCATAGCAGAAACAGGTTGCTCTCCATTTGAATCTATTATTGTAAAGTTCTCTCCAAAATCACAGAAAATCTGACTAAATAATTTAAACAGTTTTTATAAATAAAAACAGAAAAATTATTATAAATTTGCATTTTTATTTAAAAAAGAGAGACTCGATTACTTGAAATGGAAAAAGAGCGTAAAACTTCAGTTAATAAAATCGGAGAAATCGTCATTTTAATAAAACTTTGTGAATGAATGCATAGTAAAATAAAAACTAATTTTTTCATTTTTCACAAATAGTTAAAGAAACAATTCATAAGCTTATTTTATTAACAAAATTTAATAAAAAAGTTAACTATGAAGTGTTTTTAGGTTCTAAAGTAATTATAGAAAATATCCAGTGTCCTTTTTCAACTAATGCATTTATAATTAGGTAAGTTATAGTGTGGAAGAAATGAATTTCAATATTTACCCAAATAATCCTTTTGTACTTGCTATAATTAATGCTATATTCAAAGGATGAGTTATACTTGCTATTTGTAACTGTTCTTCTAATGATGATTCTGTAAGAACAACAACCTGAAAGGTAAAATCAGAACGTTAATCTTTTAAAACTACTTTCTCTCTAACTTTTCTGTTAGAAGTTTAATCACAAAACAGTTTTGGAAGCAACTAACTTTAAACTTCTGTATAATCTCTCTTAATTCTCCAGTGTGTAAACTAACTGAAACATATGGATTAAGTTCTGCTAGCTTTGAACGGCAGACTTCGGCGCGATTTTTTCCAACGTCTTCTTCAGTTAGATAATACTGTAAGTAAATAAGAGTGTTAATTACTAATTTATGAAAACTGAATATTGTTTATTTTAAAATTCAGCAACTAAAAAAATTAATCTGAAAATCATAATATAAAGGAAGTAATAATTTGGAATCATTATAAATTGAACACTAAGTCAAATATTTACTACAATTTTAAAAATGTATCATCACTAAAAACATGACCAATGAAAGATCTGAGTTGTTATACAAGGCAAGTTAATTTGTGGTGCTATTTACTGAAGTAGTGTAGTTTATATATTTTAATTTATACAATAAAACAAAGTAAAATATCTTTAAATATTCATCTTTCAATTCAAATAATTCACATTGCACTAATCATGTTTGGGATTACAGTAGAGCATCTATTAGCCAAATACTGATCAACTAAAACATTGTTAACCTGAACTGTTTCAGTTAATCGATGCTATACTGTATTTAAGATTAAAAGACATTTAGATGAAATTTGCAATGAAGACTTCCAGTTGAAATGGAAGCAATTGGCCCACATTATATAGGCTGAAATGCTTATGGAGTAGTTAGTTATATATAGGGTCAAGATAAAAGGAAATACAAAGGAGAATAAAAAAAATGATCAGCATTATATTTTTACTTTCAAATTTTGCCACTACGGCAGCTGATTCCATAATATTTTAGGATAAAGATAAAAGTTTATCCTATTAAATTTAAATTTATTAAAGTTTAAAGTTAAAAATAACAGACCATTTCTATTATATTTGTTTTCTTATCTTCCTCCCCAAAGAAAAAAGCAAAATTAAAATCCTGCACCCAAACACATGAAAAGCTAGTTATAGCACCGACACACAGTCCTCAGTTATCATTTCATTATACGATTTTGTTGAGAAAAATACAATTTATAATCATTTCTAATATAAAACCCATTGTGTGTGACACTTATAATTCCTGCAATTTTTGTCCAATCCAGATGAAATTTTGGTTATATTCGTTTTATGTTCTGATGGAAAGTATAAACTATTTATTTTGCAGATATATTAGGTATAGAATAAACGTTTTATCGATTTTGGATCAGTGATTACACTTATGTTGCAGTGACGTCAGCGACCACATGATGCGCATGCTTGATGAGGGAATTTCCCTTAAGTTACATTTTTAAATATTTTGGCAAATGGCATATTTTAAACATACTTCATTAAATTTAAAATTTAAACTTTAAACAAAGTTTGTTACAGAAGTGACGATTTGGCCAACTTTTTAAAAAATCTTTCCACGACATTCTATTATCCAATCAAAAGTAACAATCTAACAAGCCTGTTATTTAGAAAGTGTTTTATAATTACCTGAGAAGACAAGTCAGATAATTCACAATTTTTTGTATCGTGAATTGTGACAGATTTCACTCCGCCTAGAATCACATTTTTTGATATTTCTAGACCGAGACCATTCATTCCAGAGATTAAGATGTCGGAAGTAGCCATTCTTCGCATTGCTTCATGTCCAAGAACATACCTGAAAAATTCAATTTTTATATAAAAATTTAACTTTTTAAAATCTTGAAATTACATTTCAAAAATTCTGTTGACATATTGCTATTATTAAGCTTAACAGTTAAGAATTCAACATCTTTTATTATTTTTTCAAGTAAAAATAATTCACTCAATCTTCACCATGTGAGATTGCTACTGCATGAGAAAAAAAATTTGAATGAATTATAAATTTTAACGATTACATATTTGTGATAAGCTAAGAATATTCCATAAAAATTATTGGCAAATATAATCATTTCAGCAAAAGATTGAAAAGTGTCACGTAATTAGTAAATATCATTCACGAGAGGAGCTGAGAAAATATTAAATTCAAAGGTTCTCATAATTATCTCCGCTAAAATTTCCGATAGTGGAGAACCCACGGGTATGACTTGTTTCTGACAATAAATTTACCTATTAAAGTAAAAGTAATTATGTTCTGTTATTAATTAATAATGCATCATGTATTTCTAATACTTGCACAAATTGTTTTTTCAGCAATACGGCATTAGCTAGCATTACTGCTTCAAAGTAGGGTACTGATGGATACACAAACAATGTCGATTTTGTAGAACCGAAACACATTGGATGGAGACATGCTTAACATTTTGCTACTTTTGCTTCTATAGCTGAAGAATACCAGCTCTGACGGTGGAATTAGGGTTTAAAGAACTTTGATAATACTGTTTGTAAAAATATGTGGGATGGGTATGTCTGCTTACCAAAAGGAATAACAGCCACACTGGTTTTTTTACTGCAGATATAACTGTAAACGAAGAATGACGCTATGTGTATCAACTGAATTTTCATTCTCCAGTGCAATTTGTCAGTCAAATGACATGTTTTAACTTTCATATTCCAGTTTCCGTACGTGAAAGGATGACAGAATGGCAATTTTTAACTTATCGTTTCAGTTGCTCATTTCAGTATGACAGTACTAGGCCTGAGACTGGTTTCCAAGCTTATAATATTTTACAAAGCTAATTGTTCAGTTTATTTTCCATTTAAGCAGGTTTTCATTTTGTAGAGGGTCTGCTTTAGAGACATAAAAATGACGTAACAGAGGTCTCTTGTGATTGCTACAAGAGATAATCGTGACATCATAGTTGCTTGACAGCTATGCATGATGTAATGACATGGAAATCTGAAAGTCATTATGACCCTGAACCTAGTCTCTAAGAAAGCCTGGGGAACTGGTTGGTTGGTTAGGGTTTATTGGCACAAGGGCCACATAGGCCAAGCTGTGTTGAAATTACATTTCAAAAATTCTGTTGACATATTGCTATTATTAAGCTTAACAGTTAAGAATTCAACATCTTTTATTATTTTTTCAAGTAAAAATAATTCACTCAATCTTCACCATGTGAGATTGCTACTGCATGAGAAAAAAAATTTGAATGAATTATAAATTTTAACGATTACATATTTGTGATAAGCTAAGAATATTCCATAAAAATTATTGGCAAATATAATCATTTCAGCAAAAGATTGAAAAGTGTCACGTAATTAGTAAATATCATTCACGAGAGGAGCTGAGAAAATATTAAATTCAAAGGTTCTCATAATTATCTCCGCTAAAATTTCCGATAGTGGAGAACCCACGGGTATGACTTGTTTCTGACAATAAATTTACCTATTAAAGTAAAAGTAATTATGTTCTGTTATTAATTAATAATGCATCATGTATTTCTAATACTTGCACAAATTGTTTTTTCAGCAATACGGCATTAGCTAGCATTACTGCTTCAAAGTAGGGTACTGATGGATACACAAACAATGTCGATTTTGTAGAACCGAAACACATTGGATGGAGACATGCTTAACATTTTGCTACTTTTGCTTCCATAGCTGAAGAATACCAGCTCTGACGGTGGAATTAGGGTTTAAAGAACTTTGATAATACTGTTTGTAAAAATATGTGGGATGGGTATGTCTGCTTACCAAAAGGAATAACAGCCACACTGGTTTTTTTACTGCAGATATAACTGTAAACGAAGAATGACGCTATGTGTATCAACTGAATTTTCATTCTCCAGTGCAATTTGTCAGTCGATTACTTGAAATAGAAAAAGAGCGTAAAACTTCAGTTAATAAAATCGGAGAAATCGTCATTTTAATAAAACTTTGTGAATGAATGCATAGTAAAATAAAAACTAATTTTTTCATTTTTCATAAATAGTTAAAGAAACAATTCATAAGCTTATTTTATTAACAAAATTTAATAAAAAAGTTAACTATGAAGTGTTTTTAGGTTCTAAAGTAATTATAGAAAATATCCAGTGTCCTTTTTCAACTAATGCATTTATAATTAGGTAAATTATAGTGTGGAAGAAATGAATTTCAATATTTACCCAAATAATCCTTTTGTACTTGCTATAATTAATGCTATATTCAAAGGATGAGTTATACTTGCTATTTGTAACTGTTCTTCTAATGATGATTCTGTAAGAACAACAACCTGAAAGGTAAAATCAGAACGTTAATCTTTTAAAACTACTTTCTCTCTAACTTTTCTGTTAGAAGTTTAATCACAAAACAGTTTTGGAAGCAACTAACTTTAAACTTCTGTATAATCTCTCTTAATTCTCCAGTGTGTAAACTAACTGAAACATATGGATTAAGTTCTGCTAGCTTTGAACGGCAGACTTCGGCGCGATTTTTTCCAACGTCTTCTTCAGTTAGATAATACTGTAAGTAAATAAGAGTGTTAATTACTAATTTATGAAAACTGAATATTGTTTATTTTAAAATTCAGCAACTAAAAAAATTAATCTGAAAATCATAATATAAAGGAAGTAATAATTTGGAATCATTATAAATTGAACACTAAGTCAAATATTTACTACAATTTTAAAAATGTATCATCAATTACTAAAGAAAGATAGCAAGGAACTCTTAAAAGACAATAGTGTGTTTACTAAGAATTTAGTGTATACAGAAATTTTGTAAAGAAAGATTTTATTATTTTTTAATATAAAGGCCTAAAACTGTGTATGTATGTGTGTAAATGAATTCTCTATAATGCCTACTTTTTTGGTCCACTTCATGTAAAATTTTGTTTTGTTGCTCTTTAGGTTACAACAGATATTTCTACAAACTAAACAGTTTATACTAACAATGCTTGAATTTCTTGAAATCTCTACTCTTCTCAAAAACTATTCTGTCATGCTTGACAGGGAAATTTCTAGTTTATTGAATATTGACACATTCATTCCAAATGACAGTCTGATCAAAACAATTAACCACTTTAATAGAAATCTTCCTCTATTAAATTTTTGCAAGTAATCAGATACACTTTTGCTTTCTCAAATAATTAGATCAGTAATATCAAGAGAATGTATNTATTAAATTTAAATTTATTAAAGTTTAAAGTTAAAAATAACAGACCATTTCTATTATATTTGTTTTCTTATCTTCCTCCCCAAAGAAAAAAGCAAAATTAAAATCCTGCACCCAAACACATGAAAAGCTAGTTATAGCACCGACACACACAGTCCTCAGTTATCATTTCATTATAAGATTTTGTTGAGAAAAATACAATTTATAATCATTTCTAATATAAAAGCCATTGTGTGTGACTCTCTTATAATTCCTGCAATTTTTGTCCAATCCAGATGAAATTTTGGTTATATTCGTTTTATGTTCTGATGGAAAGTATAAACTATTTATTTTGCAGATATATTAGGTATAGAATAAACGTTTTATCGATTTTGGATCAGTGATTACACTTATGTTGCAGTGACGTCAGCGACCACATGATGCGCATGCTTGATGAGGGAATTTCCCTTAAGTTACATTTTTAAATATTTTGGCAAATGGCATATTTTAAACATACTTCATTAAATTTAAAATTTAAACTTTAAACAAAGTTTGTTACAGAAGTGACGATTTGGCCAACTTTTTAAAAAATCTTTCCACGACATTCTATTATCCAATCAAAAGTAACAATCTAACAAGCCTGTTATTTAGAAAGTGTTTTATAATTACCTGAGAAGACAAGTCAGATAATTCACAATTTTTTGTATCGTGAATTGTGACAGATTTCACTCCGCCTAGAATCACATTTTTTGATATTTCTAGACCGAGACCATTCATTCCAGAGATTAAGATGTCGGAAGTAGCCATTCTTCGCATTGCTTCATGTCCAAGAACGTACCTGAAAAATTCAATTTTTATATAAAAATTTAACTTTTTAAAATCTTGAAATTACATTTCAAAAATTCTGTTGACATATTGCTATTATTAAGCTTAACAGTTAAGAATTCAACATCTTTTATTATTTTTTCAAGTAAAAATAATTCACTCAATCTTCACCATGTGAGATTGCTACTGCATGAGAAAAAAAATTTGAATGAATTATAAATTTTAACGATTACATATTTGTGATAAGCTAAGAATATTCCATAAAAATTATTGGCAAATATAATCATTTCAGCAAAAGATTGAAAAGTGTCACGTAATTAGTAAATATCATTCACGAGAGGAGCTGAGAAAATATTAAATTCAAAGGTTCTCATAATTATCTCCGCTAAAATTTCCGATAGTGGAGAACCCACGGGTATGACTTGTTTCTGACAATAAATTTACCTATTAAAGTAAAAGTAATTATGTTCTGTTATTAATTAATAATGCATCATGTATTTCTAATACTTGCACAAATTGTTTTTTCAGCAATACGGCATTAGCTAGCATTACTGCTTCAAAGTAGGGTACTGATGGATACACAAACAATGTCGATTTTGTAGAACCGAAACACATTGGATGGAGACATGCTTAACATTTTGCTACTTTTGCTTCTATAGCTGAAGAATACCAGCTCTGACGGTGGAATTAGGGTTTAAAGAACTTTGATAATACTGTTTGTAAAAATATGTGGGATGGGTATGTCTGCTTACCAAAAGGAATAACAGCCACACTGGTTTTTTTACTGCAGATATAACTGTAAACGAAGAATGACGCTATGTGTATCAACTGAATTTTCATTCTCCAGTGCAATTTGTCAGTCAAATGACATGTTTTAACTTTCATATTCCAGTTTCCGTACGTGAAAGGATGACAGAATGGCAATTTTTAACTTATCGTTTCAGTTGCTCATTTCAGTATGACAGTACTAGGCCTGAGACTGGTTTCCAAGCTTATAATATTTTACAAAGCTAATTGTTCAGTTTATTTTCCATTTAAGCAGGTTTTCATTTTGTAGAGGGTCTGCTTTAGAGACATAAAAATGACGTAACAGAGGTCTCTTGTGATTGCTACAAGAGATAATCGTGACATCATAGTTGCTTGACAGCTATGCATGATGTAATGACATGGAAATCTGAAAGTCATTATGACCCTGAACCTAGTCTCTAAGAAAGCCTGGGGAACTGGTTGGTTGGTTAGGGTTTATTGGCACAAGGGCCACATAGGCCAAGCTGTGCCATGTCAAACAGTAATATTATATAATGTAATAAATAAATAAATAAATAAATAAATAAATATATATATATATATATAAACTTGTTATTATATACAAATAAATAAATAATTAAATTTGATTATAATTATTAGTGACTTTCAGAAAGTTCAATAATTTATAAACATTTGGCCTCTGGCCCAGAATCTCTTTAAAACTTGCATTTCCAAAATGCTGTCTACGAATCCTCTGAGGCAATGCAGTTGCACAGTATGTGTTTAACACTTACAGTACAGTTACAATATTGGCATAATGGCTGGTCTCCCCCCTTCAAAAGGTATTGATGAGTCAACCAAGTATGCCCAATTCTCAAGCAAGTAAGAATAACTTCAGATGTCCTGTCATACTGTTTATTACGTGTCCAATTTTCTATCATTGGTTTGATTTCATGTAGTTTACTGTGGATTTGTTCATTTCACATGCTTTGCCATCTCTCTGCTAGTCATTTTTTAACTACTAGTTCAAATCACTTCCTTCGATAGGCATTCCATGCTGTGAAGGACTGGCTGTCTTTACAGCTGCATCAGCTTTTTCATTCCCTCTTATACCAACGTGACCTGGGACCCAACAAAATTTAATAGAGAGATTCCTTATAAAAAGATGGCATATCAGATTACGAATTTTAACCACTATAGTGAGAACTAGGTTCACATGAGATCAAAACCTGAAGTGCACTGAGTCAGTGTAAACCACGAAGCAACGATGACCTTTATACATACTTTAAGGCTAGGTAAATAGCCTGCAGCTCTGTAGTAAATATGGAAGAATTTGGTGCTATTTGTTCTGCCACGATTTCATCTTGGCAGACGAAGGCTGAACCAATGTAGTCTTCCAATTTCGATCCATCGGTGTAAATAGGAATTAAATTCCTGTCACTGTGTTGAATTTCTGCAAAGTGCTGTCTATAGATGTAATCTGGCATGGTTTCTTTGGGGAACTACTTTAAGCTTAAGTCAACATTTATCGCTGGGGTTGACCATGGTGAAATACTATTAACCTCAACCTGTGAGATATTGCTTGTATCCAGGTCAATCATGCTGCTTACATTCTCCATTCTTATGTCGAATGTAGGGACACTACTCATCCGAGCTGCAAATAATCTTTTCAGCTGAGTGTCTGAACTATTAGCTAAAAGTCTATTCAGAGATTTCTGTTTAATGTAGTAAAAAAGAGACAACTGTTCTCTCCTGAGGGATAGTAGAGGCTCATAAGCATCCATGTACAAACTTTGGACAGGAGAAGTTCGAAAAGCACCAGTGCACAAACGCAGTGCTTGATTGTGGATTGGACCCAGCATCCGAAGAGTAGATTCTTGCACTGAGCCATAAACAAGGCATCTGAAATCCAGCTTTGAGTGGACAAGGGCCCTATAAATCCTGAGCATAGAACATTTGTCTGCTCCCCAGGATGAGCAGCATAGTACCTATAAAAGGTTCAGAGATTTTAGACATCTACTCTTCAAATTGCACAAGTGTGGTAAAAACGTCAGTTTAGGGTCAAATAAAACACCCAAAAACTTTGCCTCATTGACCATTGGGATTTTAATCCCATTTAAGTGAATTTCAGGGTCCAGGTGCAAACCACACATTCAGCAAAAGTGGATGCACGAAGTCTTCTCTGCGTTAAAAGTAAAACTATTGGTCTTGGATCAATCGTCCATGCAATTTAGGGAGGTTTGCAGTTGTCTCTCAATGAAACTCATGTTACTAGACTGGCAGGAGATCTGAAAGTCATCCACGTACAGTGTGTGTTTCACACTGGGAGGAAAACAGCTATACTGTTTATTTTGATTAGGAACAGAGTCACACTCAAAATAAANAATTGACCCGCTTAATGAGGAGAGGGGATTCCCGGATTGTGTGCATGCTACATCAGTCTGCGTTTAGCACTCGTTCCACTAGCATCTTAGTGTTGCAATTTAGGGAGGTTTGCAGTTGTCTCTCAATGAAACTCATGTTACTAGACTGGCAGGAGATCTGAAAGTCATCCACGTACAGTGTGTGTTTCACACTGGGAGGAAAACAGCTATACTGTTTATTTTGATTAGGAACAGAGTCACACTCAAAATAAAGCCTTGAGAAACACCTTCTTGGGTGAAAGGCCTGGGAAACTATGACCAATAATTTAAATGTTTTCATGAATTTATTTTATGCTTGAAAACTACAGAAAAAAGATCACTTTATTGTCCTTTGAAAAAACACTTCAGCCCTTTCATATTAACCTACACCAGGGGTGGCCAACCTTTTGCATACCATGTTGATAGACGAGTTCAGATGCGCAGTGGCGTACCGTGGGTGTTAGCCGCCCGGGGCGGAGAAAAATTTCGGCCACCCTTTAATCAGGTATTTCAATTTAAAAGATCAAAATTCAGTTGTGTGAGAAAAAAATTAATAAAAAATGCGGTGGTGGTGTAGTTACCCGTACAAAATAGTCCCATTTGACATTAGTGGCATACACGATTGCAAATGTATCGTGAATCGTAGAAGAAAAAAAAAAAAAAAAAAAGTCAACAGGTGTAGCAGTCCAACCGACTCGTGGACTGTCCGGACGGTAGCACTGTCATTTAGACGCCTATGCACTGATCGAAAATAAACATACATGCATACACTGTAATTTACTATGTGGAGAACACTCATTTTATCTGTAAAGTTGATTGCAACGAATTGTGCAACAAATGAACTTGCCAAGACAGACTATAAAAAATTAATTTTCTATGTAATATTCTTAATTGCAAAGAAGCCAAATCTGGCAATGTTGCTCAGAACTGACTAAAGCGCCACTTGTAATCGTCCCATGCGCCAAGTTTGGCGCATGCGCCACAGTTTGGCCACCCCTGACCTACACTATCACAAATGGTCTGTAAACAAACAAGGAATGGTTTGAGGTTTTATTATGCAATCTCTCATAAATTAAACAACATAATTTAAAAATTTGGCATGTACGAGGAAGAAACATTACAGAATTTTTCTGAATCATCAAATTCAAGAAATGGCAATTACGTGTAGCATAATTATGCATTAAAAAAATATATAAAATTATGCCTTATGCAAAAATCCACCATGTGATCACAGATTAATGTTGATAAGAAAACTTTAGCGTAGTTCTCACTGACATAAAATATAAAAATAACTAAATTCCATCATAGAAGTTATGCTTACTATACAATGTTAAAGTTCACTTTTGCTTGAAAGCATAGTAGTACTCTGGGAAAGCAGCCAAATCACAACAACAGATCGATAATGTGGCTTCTTAATGTATATAAGTGTTGTGTACAATTAAAATTTTCCTTTCTCCTCGTGCTTTCAATAACTTTTTGGAAGAGATAGGAAGTTTCGAAAGGCATTCTTTATTAAAAAAGAAAGGTGAATACAATATGTATTGAAGGTGAATAACTGGGCAAAAATAAAAGCTTTGTAAAGGACTGAAGTGGGGTCATTAAGACTCGAAATGCATCCCCTTCAATAAAAATTATAACTACTGCTCTTTGTGTAATGTGTTACTGAAAGCCAATGTATCAATCAGCATAGTAAGCTATTGAGGTAATAATATAACTATAAATAAATCTTTTTAGTTATTTATTTTTTCCTTTTGTTTCAATTAATTTGAGTTTTGGGATTGAGATATATTAAACCTCAATTGCTATCTCAACATTTATCAACAAGAACTTCATTTTCAAACTAACATTTGTGTAATGAATAGAA